ACAAACTTAAGCAGCTTTGCCATCCAACTGATACAGCTATAATTTAAACTCATTATCAGTGTTCTAATTTTCAGAATGCTGAAATAATGTGCTTGTTGAAAATATTATACATTTAAATACCTTAACAGCATTGCCCATTTGAAGCTACTTTCAACTTGCAAATAAAACAGACAGGCACTTGTGTATTGATGAACATGCTTGTTACCCAACGAAGGAACTTTCTGTGTCAAATTATAGGTGTTTAATCAGTTGATTTATGAACACCACAATTAAATAATCTATGCGACAGAAAAAAATAAACTGCATTATAAAACCACTTTTCTTTTATATTTTTATATACCACATTTATAGTTGGGATTTGCTTTTGCCTCATGGCTAGTAGCTTTCAGTTTAATATATCATTTTTGGCTGTAAGGTAAGGGACTATTTCTTTCTATGATAATGATGCCTGAATCTCAAAAAGTTTGGCATGGAAGCACCCAAAAGACTGAACGCTTATTCACAGCTTGTCCAGCCCTCTGGCACAAATGGGCTGAAAATTTCACCAGAAACAGGACATTTCTTGCAAGACTTTCAGTACTTTCTGCTGCTGAGCAGGCCAGAAATGCTGTTAGGGCCGCAGTCCACAGTATTGCGGCTCTTCTTGTTCTAGTCCCAGCCCGAAACCCAGAGTGCTAAGAGTACTAAGCGTCTGTTTGTTGTGTTTATAAAGATTGAGAAAATTTTGTGTACATCTCAGTAGTGCTTCTGGTTCTCGACAGAGCTTTGGGGGGAAAACAAGTTTCTATTTTATCTGAACAAATTCATACATATGAATCATTTATTTTATTCATTCCTATGGCACTTATAGCATGGCAGCAGCAGGTTTCAGTTTACTAAATTTAAACAGAAAAATTATGTAGACCATCCACAAAAACTAAAATTATTGCAAGGACCAGCATCCCTTCTCTAAGGAGAGAAAGAAAGATCAGCCCACAAGATCCAAGAAACAGAAAAAATAAACACAATATTTAAAAGCTATGGAACTATATTTCAAAGTAGGAGCTCTCAATTAAACAGTCACTCCTTGTGGGATCTTGGTGTCTAACCCAGAGTTCTGTCAAATTTGATGACAAATGTTTCTTACAAACAAGTAGAAAAAGAAACTAAGTGTTGCTAGAGTCCTCCTTATATGAGCCAAATAGGTAAAATCCATAATGTTACCTGCCTCCTTTGGTGACAAGACTACACAGTTTGTGGACTCTAATCTCTTAGAAGACAGGCTTCGAACTTACAGTGAGAATAATTAAGGGAAAATATTATATTTGTATGTAATCGAGATAATACCACAGAACCATATTATTGCCCAATGTATAGATTGAAAAATTCAAAGTCCAATGCTGAAAGATTGCTTCTAAAAATAGACCAGATGAATCTTTGTTATTTTTCTAATAAACTGTTGTAATACTAGACCAGGATAAAATGGCTCATGCTGCCCTCTTGTGCTAGACTTGCAAAAGAGAGCAAGCCTTTATTCATGCTGGAGAACAGATGAAGTGGAACATATGAAGCATTCACTATGAACTGGAAAATGTCCACAGTTTCCTCCTAAGAGCTAACCTGGAATGCATGTTCAGACTCCCATACTGGTATCTGGATGGAGGAGCAGAGGAAAGTTTGAAGAGCAAAGGATAACTTGTATATTCCTTTAAAAGAATGCAAGTAAGTTTTATTAACCAATATAGACAAGCAATAAATAATAAAGTCTGAAACCCAACAATGTGATATCACATATAAATCAAACATTATTATGACTCCATAATTAGGGATCTGTCGAGATCCACAGCTAAAACTGAATTTCAGTGTCCTAATTTCCAATCACCACTTCTGCACATAGAGTAAAATTTTCAAAAATGTTTAAGTCACTTAGGCACTTCAGTCCCATTTGCAATGACACTTGGGCTCCTAAGGATATGTCTACACTGCAATTAAAAACCAGCCTGGATGCTGGGACACTCCAGGCTCCAGCCTGAGCCCAAACGTCTACACCACAATTAAACATCCCCTTAGAACCACACCCCATGAACATGAGTCAGCTGGCATGGGCCAGCCGCGGATGTATATTTGTAGTGTAGATAGATCGTAAGTCACTTCTGAATATTGGATGTCGGTGCTTTCTAATAATGTTACCAAATAGTGTTACCAGTAACACACTTAAACAATCAATACTAATTGCATTTTTACATATGTGTCATATTACATAATGGTAGAATCTGCCTACTTAAAAACCTTTATTTTCATTACTAAATATAATATTTTTTAAAATACTTAACACGTTTTTCTATTGTTTCTTTTATTTCCTAAAACATCATGCTATCTAGATTTCCAAAATTATTCCAGATTACCTCAATCATTCCTAATTCTCATTTATACCATGACACCTTTACACACTTCTGGAACTGTCAGAATAGCATAAAGGGGTTTGCATGTAAAGGAGAATCAATCCTCAAATCTGAGTCATAAGTTAATCAGTAAAATATTATTTTTAAAAAGTTATTCCCATAATCCCATGATTCCCATAATCATCTTTACTGATTTGAGATACACCACTGGGAGCTGATGAACAGGTCATGATTCATCACCTATTTCCCTTTTTCAATGTCACTTTCCTAGCCCTACTTACTAGCCTCTTTCCCCAACAGGAACTATTAGGTGCTCAACACTTTTGCAAAATCAAACCACTTATTAGTTGCCTAATTGGATTTAGTAGCCTAATTTAGTCCACCATTTTTAAATTCTTGGCTCTTGTATTTAGTATTGCTGCTTATAAAGAATGATCCTCCTGAACTACAGAGAAGTAAGGAGATAGCTAAGATTGCTGTGGGGATGTTAACAATGAATTCCTTAACTTCTGCGTTACTACAATCTCATCCTTACTGGTGCATATAACAGTGTAAATATAATATTAAAAGAGCAACACAATACTTTCAAAATAAAGTTGTAGTTCATTCAATCAATCAATAAGGCACTTCTTTTAATAAATGGAGACATCTTTAGCCCAGGCAAATCTTGCTCCCGTTCAAAAGCTACCTGCACAGGATTTGATAGCAGAATGGAATCCCTAGGTTGAAGATCTAAAATAAGATGCATACACAGTACAAGATTTTCCAGATGACTGAAAGATGGTGCACATATCGTGCTCAGCACTAAATTGAGAACTGCTGACTGCTGCAACTTTGAATAAGAACAACCAGAGTTTCATATGCCTTCTTTATGAGAGAAACAAGATGTGCAAAAACACCTATACAAGAATATCTTTATATGCTACTGTTAGCAAATGATGTAGGAGAAGGAACATGTGTACACAGAAATTATTCCTAAATCATAATAATGGAAACATAATAATAATGTAATAACTAATAATGGAAACATCCATGTCAAAACCATAGAGAGATCTGGGTAATACTGGTGTATTTGTTCTGTGCATAGCTGTTGTTAAAAAACAAATAATGATCTTTTACATCACACTTTTTATCTATAGGTTTCAAAGTACATTACAAAGCAGACTGGTAAGTAATGCAGACTGAATGCAGCTATTTAATTCTATCCCATAGATATGACCTAGAGATTTTATAATAAATTATGTTCATTGAGCTTACTACAAGATGATTACATCTCCCCTCAGATGGGGTTACTGTACCTTGTTAAACACTTCAAAGGGGGAAATGCTGCATATCTGGTGATATCCCCCTTGGTTGGTCCTGCCATTCCTCTTGACCAGCTCCAACAGGCATCACACAAACAGATATATCCTGCTCCACTGAGCACCAGCTCTCCACTCACCAGCCCCCTAGCTGAGCATACAGTTTCTCTTTGAGCCCTCCCGCCTAGACTGCCACATACCCATAATGTTGGCCCACCGACATATCTCTATGCATGTCTAAATGCATGTTATGTTCAAAAAATGGTACCATGGCTATCTACTGCACTTATAATCTCACATCCACTGCCTTTTACTTCATATGAACATTTATGCAAAGGAAAAATAATAATTCTCTCAATGAAAAGCAACCTAGACTTATTCTCACAATCCTGGAAGAAGATGTTTTATAGGAGAAAAACCTCTATAGGAACACATCACATCATCCTTCCATTTCTCAAAGACCAGTGATTCTCCTCTTGGTATTTTCTTTCCCCACTCCTCCTCACTCTGCTTCACTTTCACTTCCTTTCACTTCTCTCCCTCCTCAAATATTATAATCACATCACAAATTTATCAGGTGTACTTTGCATCCAAACACCTTTCCCTTTATGCTCAAATAAATTTGTTAGTCTTTAAGGTGCCACAAGTACTCCTCGTTCTTTTTGCTGATACAGACTAACACGGCTACCACTCTGAAACCTGACCCAGATTATATCTTTTAAATTGCATAGTTTTGTTTTCTATCCATTCTGGGTGTGTGAGTGAGATATTTTTACAGTCATTGTCCAAACTGTTGTTTCTACACATTTTTGAACCGCTATAGCATAGTTTAAATAGATTGTTTAAAATCATCTCTGTACACATCTTTGCCATCCACAAATAACATTTAGGGTCAATTCCACAAACAACATTTAGGGTCAATTTTTCAATGAAAGACACTACAAATTACCTCACAAAAATGCACATATACTTGTTACATGCAGAAAAACTTAAACTCATGTTCACAAATCAAGTAATTAGTAATGCAACTGGTAGATAAGTGTGCAATACCAACAACAGCTTCTGTCTGCATGTGCAAGTGCAGGATTAGGTAAACATCCAGAATAAGATCAGTCAGTTACTAATATGCTTTAAAAAATGTAACTCTAGCTTTCTAACTGATATGATGTAGGAGTAAATATGAAGATTTTTATTTTTTAAAAAGCAAAAACGTGTGAGTACCAGAAGACTTAATTTGGATTACCACACATTTGTTTCATTTTTCCTATCATACGTCATGATGGAGATAGTATGTAATTTTTTTAAATGTTCATCTTACCTATAGGGTTTCTGTCAAAGAACAACACTGGAGCTTTCAAAAGTGACTGAAACATTTTGTTGTGCAAAGTTTGACCAGCATTCACAAGAACTGTGAATACCAACAGACTTCTCACTATGCCAAAAAGTACTGTCGCCATAGTCAAACCTAAAATTAAACAAATAAATACGGTCACAGTACATACACACAGATCTACCCCTTTAATGATACCGTGTGAGAGCATTTTGGTTAAAACTACATCCATTTTGTTCAGAGTTGTGTTCAGACAGTTCACATGAAGCAAATCATCATCTTAAAGCTTAAGACTCAGGATGAATGCTCTCTCCAGTATGAAGCAGTACTATAAACTTGTTAATAGCTTAATTTATCCTAAAATTAACTGACAATTTAAACAGTTTCTTTTTTATACCATTTACAGAGGCATAACTTTATACAACCACAGGAAATTTCATTAACTATCTGATAGTCTGTACAATATCCTTTGCACATCCATTCTGTCACATAATTCTTTATACAGTATTACACATAATTGTGGCTTATGTTGGTCACTATTGAAAAGCCAACATTTTCCAACAGATACTAACCACATATTGACCAGTTATTTCCTATTCTAAGGATAGGGGAAATTGGCTATATTTCAGATCCCACTGTATGGCAACTGTGGGACACGGTGAGTTTTTAAATGTCAATCACTTTATATAGTCAGGTCTATCAACTGTACCATGTTATTTGCAGTAGTTTCTGCTGGCTTAGAGTTTTACCTCAGTAAAATATCCTTTACTTTTCTGTCCAGTGGCACCTTAAAGGCTAACATGCATGCATCTGAAGAAGTGGGTTTTTACCCACAAAAGCTTATGCCCAAATAAATCTGTCAGTCTTTAAGGTGCCCCAGACTCCTTGTTTTTTTGGGGATACAGACTAACAGGGCTACCCCCTGATACTTTACTTTTCTGAATATCTGTTTTACACAAAGGTTCAGAAGGAAATACGGTAGCATTTATTACACCCCCACATCACCCAGGATCTGAAACAAAACATAGCCTTTTGCCAAATTCAGAAATGGTAACAATAGACATAGATCACATTAAACTATTAGATATATCCTTTTGCCTTTGGTTTTTAAGATTTTTTTGGGGTGAGGTTTAAACTTGGTTTCTGTAAAATGAACATTGTACCAACCTATTGCTTTCAGTTACAAACAAAAAACAAACAATTCTATCCTTGAGAGATCTTAAAATTACAATATCAAATTTATCTTTATTTTGTTAGCATACACAAATCTTGCCTTAAATCTGTATAATTACTTTATTATTTGTAAAATGATTTAATTGTACAATCATAAAGTGCCAGATTCTGCCACCCTTACTCATATTGTGTAGCCCCGAGAGATCCTGGTTGTCAGGTGGGATTGAACCTGGGGCCTCTGGAGCTTAGTGCATGAGCTTCAACCTCATGAGCTAATGTTTTAGCTGGCTTTTAGCTCATGCACTAGAGGCTCATGCACTAAGCTCCAGAGGTCCCAGGTTCGAGCCCACCCACTGACGACCGAGGTCTGTTGGTGTTACAAGTGGGAGCTCGCCTGGGATTTCAGCTGGGAAGTGTCTGAAGCTCAGGATGCACTTCCTCAGCGAGGGGAAGTATGTAACCCACACACGTCCTGGGTGTGGTGTTCTGTCCCATCTAGTGGCACTGAGACCACTTAGAGAGCAATTAATGAGTCTGCTCTATGCTCTGTGAGAAAGGGTGGTATCATCTGGCCCTTAAACTATAAGGTTATCAGGGCATGGATTTGACTTCCCTGTGCCCTCTGTGAAAAGACTAATATACACGGAGAAGCTATGAAAACAATAAATCTGTATCAGAACACATGCAGTGTGTGTTTGTTTCCCTGATGTCCCTCAGGACCACCACACATAAATGAGTGCGTGAAATTATTGTGGTTCATAAAAGTTTAAACAACTACATTAAACAAACTGAAAAGAATGATAACTAGTTAAGATTTGGTGGAAGCTTCTTAATATATAATTGACTTTTTTTCAGGATGGTATGTAAAAATTAAGTACTTTTGGCCATATTTTGAAAGGTATTTTAGATGCCTAAAGGTGTAGATAGGCACCTAGTTGAATTTTTAAAAGCATGTAGGCATGTAACGCCAATTGATAGGACTTAAGCACCTAAGCACTTTTGAAAATGCCATTAGGCTCCTATCCGCATTTTTAGGTATCTAAATATCTTTAAAAATCTGGCCCTGTGTACCTATCAAAGATGCTTTATTTTGCTACAGAACTTCAGAAGGAACATACCCATCCTGACTTTTAAAAAGCCATCACTGTATATAAACAAAAACTGGAACAGAGAGTTGCAGAATGAGGATCAATTTCTAATCCCTCTTGCCCACACACGTAATGACTGATGATTTAGCTGAAACAACCTATTAGTGTAGACAATAGCCACAAGTTTACAGAGACTGCCTTTTTGAATACTTAATTCCTGGTTTACCTTTCAAAATCCAGTACAGAGCAAATTAAGAGTCTGCATTCAATCTATTGCTTCTACTAGAGTTTTTTTTTTTTAATTATTCCTATTAATTTAGTCAGGAAACAAGGCTCAGTCTGCTAATCTGCTCAGACATTACTGAATCACTGTTAGAAATCCTATTTTCCCACACTGCTACTTAGAGTGTTCCTTTCAAAACCCTCTATTATATTGGAGCAAATGATTAAAATATTTTTACCTGCATAAATTCCTAAATACAAGCTAAGATCTAGATGTTTAGTCTCATTTATTCCACTATTTCCATGTGATGTGACATTCAGCTTTTCTTGCTGGTTTGACCTACAGAAATGTATGCAAAAGATAAATAATAATCAATACAACAGGAAGATCACTTAAGCAAGGCATTATCTAATCATTCTGAAACTGGAAAAACATACCTGAAGTTTGCCATATACCTGTACATTTATCATATTATTCACATGTACCTTCTACTACTTTTAAATTGAACTTCAATCAAGATCTCCAATTCTAAATATTATCTGGGCTCATGCTGTCATGAATTATACATGGGTACAGACTATTATGAGCCACACTTTACTGCAAGAACTTTATTTTGTCCCACAAATAAAGTAAGAGGGGATTGGAAGGAAGGTTGAACAAACTCTAAATTTTCTTTGAACAGGCTTCTCCCCCATATATATATATTTCTGTTTTCTATTAATTACACAGCACTTCTCTGCAAGAAGTCAAATAACCTACCAGTATGAAAGCCACCAATCCTGAAGCACATAAGCAACCTTGAATAAATAAAGGCAAATATTTGGATTAATTTACAAAAAGTATATAATACTAGAGAACTAAATTTCCTCAGCCATTCTTCTATGTCCCCTGGTAAAATCTGTCATTAAAAAAATATGCTGCCCATCCCAAACCCTCCTCTCCCCTCCCCTTCCCCCCCTTATATACTATACTGAGCTGGTGCATATATATTTAGGGCCAAATCTCATTCTTCAGTTAGTAGTACACCTCACTGCATATTTCGTAAAATCAAATACTAGGCATCCATATGAAAGTGCATGAGCTGATTTTTCTAAGACCAATAGTGATTTGCAGAGCATATTAGGAGAGCTAGAACCTTCAACCTCCAGAAGGCAAGAAGTTATCTGCTTATGAGAACTGCGTGATGGTGAAACAAGGGGAAAGCAAGACATTCAACAAAAAACAGCCATAACAACTCTCTCTAACAGATGTTAATTCATATAGCAAAGGGTTGGGTCTTTCTGTTCCTAAACTCCCTATTGTAGACATCGCAAACTGCTTCTTGCTTAGTACATATGCTCACAGGCATAAGAGCCAACTCCTGATGTTATCAGTTCAGAACTTTATTTTTATAGGAGATAATTAGGAACACAATGTTAAAAGGAAGGAAAAACTGAAAATAATTTCTGCCCTCACTCTCCAACCAGAGATGACTATGATATTACAAGCTCTGTAACAGAGCTTAATTTGTATCAAAATCTAACTCTATTCAATTCAATTAAAATACTGTAGGGCTATCCCAGAGAGACCAGATCATATTCACCATCTTCCCAGACATAGATGGTCTCAGTTCAAGGACCCTGTGCAAATTCTCCTATTTCTTCAAACTTATTTTTGAAGCCAAGACCAATCATTTCTACAAAATTCCTTTGAACCTTCTCACCACAACACACTAACAAGCCCACATCATACCATCCTCAAAATAACTTCACTGGTTCCCCATTCATTTCAGGATACAGTTCAAAATTGTTCTCCTTCGTAAAAATTCCTTCACAAACTTGCTCCAGCTTGCCTCACACATACAGTCTTCCTCTATTTCCCATTCCCTACTCCTTCTACTTGGTAAACAACAGCCTCTGACCTATCTCCAGAATCTCCTGTCTGTTGGCAGGAGAGTCTTTTCCTCCGTAGCTCTTATATCAGGAACAGCCTCTATCAATCTGTCTCATTAGCCATACAACACATTTTGATTCTGAATTGAAAACACATTTTCTCCCATAGCTCTACCTCAAATGCAATCTATGGCTGCCATTATTTTTATTTAATTTAGTAATTACATTATGTATCTCTGAGAAGGGTAGTGGAATACAATTTGTATGAATGGCAATATAAAATAAATTATACAACACAAAAGTCCTTTAAATTGATCAGCAGGACTATTGAACTGAGGATTATTACCCTAATGTCCCACTGGAATACAAATTTAAATGACAGAAACCACATTCAGATATTATCAGATTTGATCAGGTATACTGCCAAGTATTAAAATCATTATACATAAGAGTATCATGTATCAAAAGCTTTTCACATAAACATCAGAACAGCTGTTAAGTACACAGTGTTAATGTAAACACAAAACAAAAATCTATTCTTTATTATTTGTGGCACCCATCAGATATCTTACCTGTGCCAAAATATTTAGAAGTAAAAGTATGAAAATTACAAAGTAGTTTGCTCCAGCAGCAAAATATTTCCTGTAAATCTTGAAGTTTATTTTTCCCTCAGACCGGCTCTCTTCTGGCAGTGCAGTCACCAAAGGTTCAGTCTATAAAAAATAAAATGGATAAGAAAACTAATGCTAAAATTCATATTAAAGTCATGGTTCCAGAAAAAGTTACTGATAGGTCATAGTTATGAATCAGCAATATACTAAATAAGGAGATAAAATTATACTTATTAAAATATTTTTAAAATGTTAGCATTGTGACACAAAAACAACAGAAAACAGGAAATTCAATCTTACAGCGCAGTACTACTCCAAGAATTTGACTCTGTAAAATGGGATTCTGGGGTTCTATCTTTGTCTCTCAGTGACTCCATGTTATAAGTACTCAGTTTACAAGTAACAAGATGCTTGTTCTAACTGCCAGTGCTGCAAATTACACCTCAACTGAGAGCCAAACTGAGTTTTTTTCTCTGTCATGTATCAACATCAGTAATAAAGGTTCCATAGTCCAAGATCACAATGTGGGAAAGCATCTATATTCAGAAAGAGCACTTAAGCATGTGTTTAAATACTTCCCTGAATAGGAACAGTTTAAAACATGTGTGTTTCTGAATCAAGGCATTAAAAAACAAAAAGATAAAGACTATAGCCATAAGCTGTGCACCCTAGGGGTTCTCAGACTTTTGTACTGGTGACCCTTTTCACACAGCAAACCTCTGAGTGCGACCCCCCTTACACTTAAAAACACTTTTTTATATATTTAACACCATTATAAATACTGGAGGGAAAGTGGGGTTTGGGGTGGAGGCTGCCAGCTCGCAACCCCCCATGTAATAACCCTGAGGTGTCCTGATCCCCAGTTTGAGAACCCCTGCTTTAATGGATCAAACTCAACAGGAGCAACTCCCTTGAAACAGTTCAGATTGCAAGAGCCACAACATTCCAGCCAATTCTCCAAAGAGTAAGTGCCCACAAGAGAGCTTTTAATGGGGAAAACAGAAGGAGAGGATGACAAATGGAGAAAATTAGATTGAGGAAAGGGGAAAAAGAAAAGTTAATTATAGAGCACACGAAAAAGCAAACAGAAGGAGGAAGAGAGACAGATGAAAAAAACAGTAAATGAACAAAAAAGGAAGAAACGAAAAAATTTGCTGAGACTATAAGTAACTTTTAGTAATTGTATTATCAACATACAGAAAGACTGGTACTAACATAATACAGTGAAATACACAATGTTTCACTTAGCTGTCCAGGGATATGATTGTGTAGGAACAGGGGGAATGACAGACCTCCATTGTGGATGGGAGAGGAGCAGAGGAACTCAGTATACACACACACACACACACAAAGAAGAGAACAATAATCTGTTCTGGGTTTGTATGTCACTGCTGGCACTTTGCATGGGCTGTGTATGTCACTTTGCTGGCAACCAGGTGCCAACTCTTGCCAAAGCTTTAGGCCTCAGCTGAGCACTGACAAATTCATTGCTGGAAACCAGTCTGTTTCACCTGCGTGTTAGTATGGTTAAGATGGGTACTGGACTTATAACAATATGTTTAGTGCTTAGACTTTATGAAATGCTTGTAAGTGAGATTAATGCATGCAGCAACTTACAATATCTTTATTAAATGCTATAAGGTAATATTTAAGTTTTTGCTTTGTAACTGTAAAAACTGTTTGCTATAAAACTGTGAACCTGTCGGGGGGGATCATCTCCTGCTCATCAAGAAGGGATATCAGAACTAAATGAGTCACTGTGGGACATCACAATACAAAGACTTTGTTAATTGTCCCTTCATAACCATGAAGAGGCTACTTGCAAAAGGGCTCATCCCATCAGCTTGCATTCTGGGAGAAGGAAATAAAAATAGCCAACAAGAAAATTTTTCATCTCTCTTTTACTTTTTGGACTTTTACAGGGCCAGAGCTACGAAAGAGAAGCAGATACCCCCAGGGTCAAACTGGGTTAGCCCTAAAAGACATTCATAGCTGATAGATTACTACAGTTCTGTCACCTTTCGGAAACTTGCTTTAACCTTGTAATACTTCTCTCATTTATTTTTCCTAGTTAATAAATCCTTAGTTAGTTTACTATAGGATTGGCTACAAGCATTGTCTCTGGTGTGAGATCTAAGGTATAAATTGACCTGGGGTAAGTAACTGGTTTCTTGGAACTGGAAGCAACCTGCATATGTTGTGATCTTTGGTGTACTGCAACCAACTATCACTAAGTCCAGCTTGTCTGGGTGGCCAGACAGCTGGGAATGGCCAAGGATGTCTGTGATTCTATGGTAAGTTGTTACAGTGAGTTAGAAGCTCATCTTTGTTACTGGGTTGGTGAAATCTAATTATAGAACTCACAACCCGTTTGGGGTCTTTGCCCTGCTTCTTGACAGTCTGCCCCGAGGTTGGCACTCACGATCGTGAATCACTCCAGATAGCATGACATGGGCACATTTGATGGGAAATGAAAATACTGAGCCCTCTGGCTTTAATACCAGCTGGCAGGGAGAGAGTTTAAACAAATATAACTAATCACTGACAAATTACAGTAAAATATCAAGTTTTGTTGGCCTAAAATGATTGTTCTGAAAAGTCTTAAAATACAGAAAACTGCAGAGAACCCTTGCCCCTCCTTTTTATTTATTTTTATATGTATGTACATATGCTCTTTTTTACAGAAGACTAAATAATGGTATTTATAGGCACAGGGATGGAGAGCACATAGCCCTTATGTATACACATATTTACAACCTGCCTCTGTGGCTTAGGGGGTTAGCGCAGTGGCCTGGGAATGCAAGGGTCACAGGTTCAATTCCACATTCAATTCCAGGGCAGCTATCTCGGATTCAGAAACTCCTCACTGGTGGCTTGTCTCCCTGCCTCAGTGGCTCATCTCTCCTCAACGTTAGCCTACTTTACCATAAGAATATCATAGTTTGAACAAAATTAACAAGTCATATGATGTTTAATTCATATTTGATGTACTCACAGGTGGCTGTTCTATTGCTCCATCTTTCTGTGACTGCACCAAGGAATCTTGTGACCAGACAGAGGACTGTGAAAATGTACGGTTCCTTGCTAACTTCATAGTGGAGATTCCAGGAATTGGTGACTGTTCAACCTCTTCATTTTTTTTCAGAAGGGAAGCAAAATCGATTCCAGAACTCAGGAATTCTGAATAGGTCCCTTTCCCCACCATTTTACCCTACAGCAAAATATTTTTTAAAATTTTGTTCACATGCTGTGTGCACATTCTGTACAGGGTGAATTTAACAATCTGTTGCATAAACCTTCATTACTAGAGCCCCATGGCTTTTGACACATGTACTGTCTGAAAATAAAAGCTCAAGAGATTTCTTACAAACCCTTACTTCATAACACTGAAAGGTTAAATCCTTCCAATTATCCATTCTTTTTCTATAGCAAGGCATTACAGGCAAGATCCTTACCTCCCCCAAACCAGCCCCTTCATGCCAGGTAAATGGGTCAGAGTGGTATAAAGGGACCCGAATCTGGACGGGGGAGGATTCCCTCATTGCAGAACCTGCACAAGATAGCCTTACAGCTTAGAGGCAGGCTTCCATATCATAAACAGGTCTCTTAGCTTATGTGATATGCCAGGGGTTGTGGAGCCACACAGAACTGGGAGGTCTTAAAGCCACCTTAGCCCTCTGCTCCCCATGGGGCTCTTAGAGGAGCCACACAGAATTTCACCCCATGTGTTCCAGCCTAAAAAACCCCAACACAATCCATTCTTTTGCACCTATGCCAGAGATTATTGTATCTTCAAGGTAATCTGACAAGGAAAAAGATGGGTGTTGTGGCCTTTTTTTTTTTTTTTTTTTGCAACTTTATGAAGTATAAAGAAGGCCTAAAGGGTCCTGCTTCTCCCAACCTTAAAAAGTAGGGGAACAGTCCTGCAGTTTTTTTTTTATCTTAAGTATTTAGGACCATCAAGTCTGGGGCTCTCTGCTTTTGCTGGAAGACTAGTTTGTCTCAGATACATATGGCCTTTTCTCAGTCTTTAATTAAAATGGAACTGAGCTGCAGAGTCTAATAAATACAGCTTCTCCTGCTCTTCCCCCTTCCCTACCTATTTATTAAGGCACTAAAATAAATCTTAACAAAAAACAAAGTTTTAAATACTCAGTAAAAATCACTTCCCTACAAGCAGAATATATAACATGATAATATGCCAGTTCAAATTTTTCAGGCAAGTTATTCTAAGAAAACTCTTCTCAGCTTCTGTTGTTAATAACAGATACACTTAACGAATGTCTTTAGGAGACATAAAATACATTTATAAACTGTAATTATATTTTATAGAAAATCACTTTTCCTAACTCTTCACATTTTTATCTTCAGAGTATGAGTGAGTAGCAGCAACAACTGAGTTTTAAAAGCGAGCCAGTGATATGACTTACCGCTTTTAAAATCAAAATCTGGTTTACCGCATGGAGGTACTGCAACTGATGAGTCACCAAAATAGAGATCTTTTGGTGCAAGGCCTGATAAATACACCTGCAAACAGAAGGAAAGAAATGGACAGCACATTGATGTTCTAAAACATTTTTGTACATTACAGAAATAATTTATAAAACCACATATATTAATTACTTTGTCATCAAGGAAGAAAAATACCACCACAGGACAAGCAGACACCCAAAATAATGTACTTGTCAAAATTATGTTAACTTGGCATGTCTCTAATACACTGAAGAGCACACTATGGGAATCTCTTATTTAAATACTGTATGCTTACAAAGTAGGTGAAATAAACCAAATTGTGAATTAAAATTTCTGATTCTAGAGAAAAGAGATTACTAAGGAAATCTTATAATTGTGCATTCAGCCTATTATTAATACATGTACATGTCTTAAAGTAAACAGGGCTATGAACAGAACAGACCTATTTAATCAAAATGAAATTCACAGAAGTGAATGAAGTTAGGCAACATATTGTAGCATAGACAATTATCCAAAAACAAGGGCAACATTCAACTTCTGTGAGCTAAATTTCCAAAAGTTTGTGGAGTATGTAATTAATACCAACTGGAGGAGTAAACATTATTATTATTGGCCTGGACCATATTGACTCCAATATGCATACAGTGGTGGATCCCTCAAGCATAGCTCTCCCTCTTTCATCCCACCTTCACAGAAAGGGGGTTCACCTGTCTCTGTGGTATCATCCCTCTCTTGTGCCCCAGATGGAGGGGTAACCAGGCCATATTTCAGTGAGTAGCACTGCGACCTCACAAGGGCACAATGTTCACTAGCATTCTTAGATGTTAAAACTGAGAAATATTGCCCTGAAAATTTTGTGAACAGTAAGGTATGTGTTTTTAAAAGGTTTCCTAGCCTACGCACAGACAGCAGGATCAAAGGGCTGATTTATTTAAAGTAGAATCGCCTTTATTGAAATCAATGTATTAATGGCTCCAGTTCCATCTAGATTACATTAGAAAGTCTCATTTTGTAAAGGGATGGGGGTGCTCCAAGTTAAAAAAAAAGTAAGGGGGGAGCATGATTCAAAAAAAGATTAAGAACCATGGTATAACCTGTTCTTAAAAACCTCCAATAACAGGAAGTCTAGTTAGGTCCTTTGGAATCCTATTCCATTCGTTAACTATCCTTACAGTTAGAAAGTTTCTCCTAATATCTAATCTATCTCTCTCTTGTTGCAGATTTAGGGCTTGTCTACACAAACAACTAGATTGCAGCAAGATGGGATGTGAATTTACCATGCACTGGCCTGCTGTGGTCTACCTGTCCATGTGCACCCTGCAGATGCACATTAACAGTTAGTCAGAGTGCTTTGATTGAGCCCTTTTTGAAATGGAACTAGCTCAAAGCACATTATCAAACAGTTAATGTGCATCAGAAGAACACACATGGACAGTTAGACTGTGGCAGGCTCGCAAGGGGTAGATTCACACCCCACCTTCCCTCAATCTAATTGTTCATGTAGACAAGCTGTAAACTGATTACTTCTTGTCCTATCTAGCATCCGACGAAGTGAGCTGTAGCTCACGAAAGCTCATGCTCAAATAAATTGGTTAGTCTCTAAGGTGCCACAAGTACTCCTTTTCTTTTTGTCCTATCTTTAGTGGACATGAAGAACAATTGATCACTGTCCTCTTTACAACAGCCTTTAGATTTTCTTCCCATGGGACCTTACTTACCAGTTCTTTGTCAAAGTCTGCTTTTTTGAAATCCATTGTTCTGCTGCTCTCACTCATTCCTTTCCTTAAAATCATATATCATTTCATGTTCACTTTAATCCAAATTGCCTTCTACCTTCAGATGCACAATGAATTCCTCCACATTAGTCAGAACCAAGTCTAAAATGTGGAACTTCCCTCCAAAATTACACTATTCTGAAGTGCAGATTTGGCAATAGTCAAGTTTTGCACAACTGACGTGTTTAAGGTCCAATATTTCACAAACTCGCCAAGCTAGGAGCAGGAGCTTTGTCACATGCTCAAAGTATTTCTGCACATTTTCAGAAACTAAGTAACAAAGGCTTTTACAAATGCAGGTTAGAATTCTCTACAACTTACAAAAGAACAAAATATGTGGTATACAGCAAGGAGATGCTGAATGCACATAAACTTCTATGATGCCATTTCTCCTTTCACACTTATTTTGCTACATATATTCCCATTTCATGAGATGCTTCAGCATGCACTGTACTAGTGGTGTAGCTGAACTACAAGGAAGAGAACTAGCATAATGTTACCAGCAAGCTCTCCACAAATCACAACTTTAGAGAATTTTGTAGAGTTGTACTTGGGTTTGGGTTGGCCAGATACATGCTATGTTTTTTTATTTAGCATTAATATATTGAAACTGATATCTGAACTGATAAAATCAAAAGGAAGAGCAGGTTAGAGTGGGTGAGATAATGTGTTCATTTAAAGTTTTCATTAAAAAGTACTTCACTTCTCCTGTCCCATCCATTGCTCTTTGCTCTGCCGTTCACACAATTGCTACCAGGACTCAAAAGTGCTATCTTTGAAACCACAGCCTGATATTCTACAAATACAAAAGATCGTGCTCAGAGTTCAGGTCTACCTAGCATGATTGAGAACCAGGAGACTTTAAAGCACATACCAAAATTTGTTACTCATTCCAGCTAGCTGCTGAACATCAATAAAATTTAGACCTTTCCCAATTCTACAGCTGTTATGGAAGTATCAGAAGAAAACTTCTACTTTCAAAGAGGTATTCCTGAAGACCGTGGATGGAAAAAAATGGTTACTAACCTTTTTGTAACTGTAGTTCTTCAAGATGTGTTGCACATGTCCATTCCAATGTAGCTGTGTGCATGCCCCAAACACAGTCACCAGAAATTTTTCCCCCAGTGTACCCGTTGGGTCAGCTCTGGTGCCCTCTGGTGCAGCACACTCTTAGCGCCAGTATAAAGGGCCTGGCCAAGCCTGCGCCCCCTCAGTTCCTTTTTTCCAGCCAACTCTGGTGTAGAGAGGTAGGAGGACGGGTCTTGGAATGGACATGTACAACGCATCTTGAAGAACAACAGTTACAGAAAGGTTAGTAAACATTTTTTTTTCTTTGAGTGATTGCACATGTCTAGTCCACTGTAGGTGACTCCCAAGCAGTTGTATAGGAGGTGGGGTTGGAGTTCATGGACATGGTGACTGTAAAACAGCTTGACTGAAACTGGCATAATCCTAGCCTGTTGCGCAATGGCATAATGAGTAGAAAACAAATGCACAGACGACCATGTAGCCATTCTGCAAATGTCCTGAATAGGCACCTGAGCCCAGAATGCTGATGATGATGCTTGCACTCTTGGGGAGCAGGCAGTCAGGATAACTGGTGGTGGAACACTGACCTGATCATATCACGTGAGAATGCATGATGTGATCCATGACGAAAGTCTCAGAGCAGAGACTTTCACCCTTTCAGCGATCACTGTGAAGAGTTGGATGGATCTACAGACTGGTATGGTTCTGACACATGGGAGAAGAGCGTGTTCTACCTCCCTGCCTGTTGAGGTAGAACACAGCTGCAGTGTTGTCTATAAACACCTTCCCGAAATGTGAGGCAAGACTGCTTGACAGGCCAGGCGAACTGCCCAGAGATCTCTGACACTGATGTGTAGTGAGAGTTTTTATGGAGACCATAAGCTTTGAGTCCCGAGTGGTCCTAGGTGTGCTCCCCAGCCTAGTGCTGATGGGTCCAAGACAAGGGAAATCGGCAGATGGGACTATGAGAAGGGCATGCCCACACAAATCACCCATGGATCCAGCCACCAGTTGAGGGAGCTGAGGACCAGAGAAGGTATAGTAAGGACCAAATCCAGATAATGGCGGTTAGGGGCATACACTGAAGCCAGCCATCGCTGGAGGGGCCTGATGTGTAGTCATGCATTCTGCACCACATACATTCATGAGGGCATGTGACCCAACAGCCTCAGACAAGAACAGGCTGTTATAACGGGATGATCCCTGAGGAGTACTATCAGGGATGTGATTATCTGAAACCAACCTTCTGGGAGGAAGGCTCTGGCCTGGGTGGAATCAAGCACCACTCCAATAAACGCTATCCTCTGTATCGGGCTAAGGGTAGACTTCTGTGCATTTATTAGCATGCCTAAGGCCTAGAAAGTCGACTAAATGAGGTGGAATCCACGATGGCCTTACTGAGAGGTAGGGCTACTCATGACAGGCCCACCGTGGTCAGGATGTCCATCAAACTATAGAAGGACTCTGACTTCCTCCACCTGTATGCCCAAATTTTGGACCACCCTTTTCAACAAGTCCTGGTGGGCCTTCTAGTTGTTATGGGGAGGTGACTCACCTGCTCCCGGCATGGTAATGTTGGGAGAGGAGGAAGAGGAGCCTTACACTGGCTGAGGGCACTCCTAGTCACCTTCTGCGCTGATCGGATCTCAAGGCACCTGCTCCTGGTACACAGCACTGGCCTTGGTACCGGAGTCTGAACTGGTTGCTCCCCAAAGGTGTGGGGGTGCCCTTCCTTCAGAGGTCAGCGAATAGGAACGCCTTGACTGGGGTTCCTGCATCGGTGGAAATGCCCACAAGTTCCAAAAAGGCCACTGCATGGTCACAGGCCAGTGACCAGGAGGCCAAGTACTCGATGGTATTCCCTGGCCCAGGTGCACAGCCAGGTAGGGACACCTTGAGGAATGCCAGGGCCAACTCCTTGGTTGGAAGGAGTACAACTCCCTTCTGACTCTGACGACAAGGAGTCTCTGCCTGGCGACCACGGCTCAGCGGTTCCCACCGATGCCACCAAAGTCTGCGTCATTGGAATGGACATATGTAATCACAGAAAGAGTTGTTCTCCAAGTCTTCCTCCCCCATAATATATCTTGGTTTTACTCTAGAGTTTGGAAAAGAAGACTGAAAAGAACTTTTACTTCTTTTCTGAGTTTCTAAATATCTCATTCTCCATGCCATTTAGCAGCAATGGGAGATCACGTGTCATTGAACCAATGTCATCTAGCCTCTTTATGGTGTTTATTGGTAGGAAAACATTATTATTTGTACTGTGATAACAGCTAGTAGCCCAAGTCATGGACCTCACTGTGCTAGGCACTATATGAACTCAGAATTAATGGATCTGGAAATATCAGGCTGGAAGATTAAGCCCTAAAAGGTACTTATGCCCTTTCCTTTTTAATTTGCATGCTATATAATGAAAATTTAAGACATTAAAATTGTAAGTGACAGTGGACGGACACACATTTAACAGCTGTTATAGCCCTCCCACAAGAAGCAGAAAAGGAAACAGTGTACATGGGAATGCAGTGCATCAGAATATATGAGCTTTATACGTGATCATGGATGCACACCAATCACAGAAGGCAAAATTCTCCCCAGGACACAAGGCTAGCACAAAGCCTATACACCACGGAAGTCTTATTTAAGCCCTACAAAACAGGTAGTGCTGGCTCACAGAAGTGTATTTTGGCTACTGGAAGAAACAACAAAATAAGTCTGATGCAATGAGAAGGCGAAAAAATACATATTTTGCACCCAATTTTCAATTGGTCTGAAAATGCAGCTGCAAATCAGAGAACTGCCTACACCAATAGGTATTCAGATGTATAATTATCTAACCTACATGTTACTTTTCTGCATGGCTATGAAAGTGTGTGCCAGATTGAATTTGCATCCACTAAAGAAAATCTTGATCAAGAAAACAATCTTGTTTAGGGCCTCATCCAAAGCCCACTGAAGTCAACGGGAATCTTTCTTTAGACTTGCAACAGGCCTTGGATGAGACCTGTCAACAGAGATAGGAGCATACCAGGTACATTGGCCTACTCGACTGTTCTTGAGTTATCTATCTGGGTTTGCAGAGCAAACCTCTGAAAGCAGAAATGGGAGAAAAGAAAAAAAAACACAGTAATTTATGAGAAAGGGAACATGATTTTCACAAAGAACAGTTCTATTTTCCTTGGGGATGAGGGAAGGGCTAGATTCCCCTTTCTTCTATGGTAAATGTGTTTTCTCTTTCCTTTCTCCTCATACTGCTCTCAAAGTGTCTAGTCAACAGAACATGACTCCTTATTTCATCTGCCTGAGATGGCTTAAACTATAAAGAATGAGGGAAGAGGAAAATCATTCAAGAATTTAAAAGAGAAGGGAGATGTTTTTCCTAGCCACTTAGAACAAACAGGTTTCAGAGTAACAGCCTTGTTAGTCTGTATTCGCAAAAAGAAAAGGAGTACTTGTGGCACCTTAGAGACTAACCAATTTATTTGAGCATGAGCTTTCGTGAGCTACAGCTCACTTCATCGGATGCATACCATGGAAACTGCAGAAGACATTATATACACAGAGACCATGAAACAATACCTCCTCCCACCCCACTCTCCTGCTGGTAATAGCTTATCTAAAGTGATCATCAAGTTGGGCCATTTCCAGCACAAATCCAGGTTTTCTCAACACCCCCCCCCCACACACACACACAAACTCACTCTCCTGCTGGTAATAGCTCATCCAAACTGACCACTCTCCTTACAATGTGCATGATAATCAAGGTGGGCCATTTCCAGCATAAATCCAAGTTTAACCAGAACGTCGGGGGGGGAGGGTAGAAAAAAACAAGGGGAAATAGGCTACCTTCCCCCCCCCCCCGAAGTTCTGGTTAAACTTGGATTTATGCTGGAAATGGCCCCCCTTGATTATCATGCACATTGTAGGGAGAGTGGTCGCTTTGGATAAGCTATTACCAGCAGGAGAGTGAGTTTGTGTGTGTGGTTTTTGGAGGGGGGTGAGAAAACCTGGATTTGTGCTGGAAATGGCCCACCTTGATTTTCATACACATTGTGAGGAGAGGGGTCACTTTGGATAAGCTATTACCAGCAGGAGAGTGAGTTTGTGTGTGTGGTTTTTGGAGGGGGGTGGGGGGGTGAGAAAACCTGGATTTGTGCTGGAAATGGCCCACCTTGATTATCATACACATTTTAAAGAGAGTGGTCACTTTGGATGGGCTATTACCAGCAGGAGAGTGAGTTTGGGGGGGGAGGGGTGGAGGGTGAGAAAACCTGGATTTGTGCTGGAAATGGCCCAACTTGTTGATCACTTTAGATAAGCTATTACCAGCAGGAGAGTGGGGTGGGAGGAGGTATTGTTTCATGGTCTCTGTGTATATAATGTCTTCTGCAGTTTCCACAGTATGCATCCGACGAAGTGAGCTGTAGCTCACGAAAGCTCATGCTCAAATAAATTGGTTAGTCTCTAAGGTGCCACAACAAACAGTTGCAGTTTAACAACATAAAGCTCTAATGATGTAAAAAATGAATGACAATTCTTTGTTTCTTTCTTCAGGTATAGAGTGTAACATTATAAACTAATGTTTGGTTGGTACTAGGGACTAAAACTAGCTTACCAAATGTAATATTGCATTATGAAATTTGCCATTTTGCTCCAAGAAAAATGGATTATAGATTATAGATTCAAGTGAGGAACGAAACAGCACGAACAGATTAACTGCTTTCATACAAATATCTTAAAGAATCAGTTCAGGAAGAAAATACTGATAATATAAGGGACAGAAGGAGAATTGTCTCTAAAAACAATATTTTTCTAAATTTCCCTGTTTGGAATCAGTGTATCTAAATTAAAATTCAAAGAAAAACAAAATAGTAACATACTTTTCAAATAAGTGTCTGCTAACTTCTGCATCTACTGCACTCAGTGGATCATCCAAGAGGTAGATGTCTGCATCCTGATACACTGCTCTACAACATTTAAAGAAATGTTAGTCAAGTCAGTGCCAAATACATTCTTACAGTCAACTTGCTTATATTAGTCACTAGTGTCTATGATAGGTACCAACAGATATTACGAGAAATAACAATTTTTACCTAGCAAGATTTACACGGGCTTTCTGTCCACCACTCAATGTAGCTCCACGATCTCCTATCATGGTTAGGTCACCATCTTCTAACAATCCCATGTCCTGTGAATATAGAGAACATACAGTGGTAAAAATTCTTTACAAAAGGAATATCTCCCACATCTGAATCAAAATTACTTTCCCAAAGTATTTAGTAGTTACTAAGCCCTGGTCTACTCTGGGGGGGGGGGGTGTCGATCTAAATTACACAACAGCAGGAGAGATTAAAGAAGTTCTATCTACAGTGTGTAAAACAACCTTGCAAAAAAGATTTTCCATTACAGTAAAAGTCTAGTTTTCACCTGTATTACTGCTGATAGGAATATCATAACATGCTGCAGGATACGCAGCAAAATAATACCTTTTAGCTATCAAGCAAAATGTCTATTTCTTGACAAATAGATTTAACCCTCTTCTGTATCACACGTGACAAATGCCTTCTATACATACATACATACACACACACACACCCCTTTCAAAAACATTTTTTCCACAAGGCTACAAGGGCTCAGCAGGTTCTCCAGTCTATAGTGTTAAGGAGCTATGAATATCACTTTGCAATATGCACACTGTACATCTTAAAGGGAGTATAGCATTCTGTAAAGGTTATTTGCAAAACAAAAGTGGCAAGTGGCATCAGTTATGAATGTTTGTTTCTACCTTGTTAGCTCATTTAGGCAGTTAGCTCCTCTAAGCATCTATTATAAAAGCAATTAACATGGCTAAAACTCATTATCATACAAAATATTTGGAACTAGCTTTTTCCTGTCAAATTTGTCCTAGCTTCTCAGAAAATCAATCTCCCTCTAGTGAATTTATTATGAATTACAAGAATTTGCTCTTATACCTAAATCTCACAAAACAACTATGTACGGTGTTAAATTATAGGATTCATCTATCTCACAAGTAAATTGGTAACTAATTCTATAAATTACATATCACAACAGATACTAGCTATCATAGCAATAACATTAAAGTGAAAAACAAAGTTGGCTGTTGCTAAAACAGAATCAACATTCAAAAGAAAATCACTTACTTTTTTAAGAGCACAAACTTTTAGAACTTTTTCATACTTTTCTTTCTCATATTCTCTGCCAAATAGTATATTATTTCTCACGGTGCCAGGAAATACCCATGGCTGCTGAGAAACATAGGCTATTCTTCCTCTAACATCCATCAAACCTTTGTCTTTAGGCAGTTCGCCGAGTACAGCACTTAAGAGAGATGACTGCAAGAGAGTTTATTGTTTGGTTGGTAGTTTAAAAAAAAAGTTGTTAAACTCAGTTTTTGAACACTATAAAGAACATGCAGAAAAGAAATGAGACATGCCCCCACTGCAGATTCAGAAACTAATTTTTCATTTTAATGTGTAAAAAAAACTTTGGATAAAATTTGCTAACGCACTTAAGTGACTTCAGAACTTCAGTCCCATTACATCATTACATTCAGTCCCATTACATCAATGAGATATAAGCTCCAAAGTTACCTAATTCTCAATGGGACTGAAATTTGAAGTCACCTAGGTACTTTTGAAAATTTCATCCTTTAACTTAGTTGGTTATATCATTTTTAAAATACTTTGCCATTTTTATTGTATTAAAAGCTTCATTTTGTAAATTGTAACATAATGGGACAAAAAAGAATTCTAAAACCAACACACTATGAAGTAAGACATTTCATCCATTTACCCAAACAGGAATACATGTACTGGTAACCGTCACATTTGTACTGAAAGTGAAGCATTGGGGGAGAGGGGGTGTCTTAATTTTGAACCTCAAACCATATTCTTCACAGTAAGTGGCATTACCCTAACTACTCTGTACTCCAGTATGCGCACCTAAATATATTATACAACACAACACAAGAAATTCATAAAACTTGAATGCATATATCCAACGGAACTGTAGCAAAAACAATGTAAAAAAGGCCAACACATTATGACTTACTTTCCCAGCTCCTACAGGGCCAATCACAGCCAATAATTCTCCTGGTCTGACAGTAAAAGAAAGTTGCTGAAGGGTTGGGATTTCCAAACTCTATGAATTTATAAAGGGAAAAATAAGTTAATTTTTCTCAGTACTGAAAAATATATCAAAAATGTCTTTTAAAAAGTAGAATAGTATACATAAACTAGCAGATAAATCCACACACTTAATAAACATGAAACTGTTAAATATTTATTTCTAGTCTAAATCTTCTTCAGTTCATACAGAGCATTTGTCCACATGCTTTGCATCTCTCCTTCCAACCTTTAATTGTAACATTTCAGTTCCTAGCAAAATGGAGATTCATTCCTTTTCTAAATTGTAAACTCCTTACGGCCACGATCCATCGTTTTAACGATAATAATTAATCCCCACAAGGTGGCAGCAACAGGGTATTTTTATAAATTGATTTCTCAATCCAGCATAAACAGTCTAGGATCTCTGCTGGTGTTTAGTTCAATAGAGCGATGCCAGTTTACACCAGCTAGGGACCTGGAACATATATGTTTATTTATTTAGGAAGTGATTCCAAGTGATTCCATAAAATACATTATAGCAGCTATAATGACCCATTTGTCAGTGTTTACCAGAACTGGACACTATTGCAGAAGCAGTCACACCAGTGCAAATACAGAGGTAAAATAAACTCTCTACTCCAAACCCAGTTTCCCCAGTTTATGATCGAAGCATTGCATTAGCTCTTTTAATCCCCCAGTTTATAAGTATGGCCTACATTCTTTGTTCCTAGATGTACAGCTTTATATTTAGGCATATTAAAACACACATCGTTTGCTTGACCACAGCTTACCAAGAGATTCAGATCGCTCTGTATCAGTGACCTGTCCTCCCCATTATTTACCAGTAACTCCCCCAAATTTTGAGTCATCTGCAAACTTTATCAGTGATGATTTTATGTTTTCTTCCAGATCATTAATAAAAATATTAAATAGCATAGGCCAAGAACAGATCCCTGTGGGATGCCACCAGAAACATACCCATTCAATGATGATTCCCTTTTTACAAATATATTTTGAGACAATATATCAGTTAGCCAGCCTATTAATCCATTTAATGTGTGCCATGTTCATTCTATATTGTTCTAGGCTTTTTAATAAAAATGTCACGTGGTACAAAGTCAAATGCCTTTCAGCAGTCAAAGCATATTACATTAATACTGCTACCTTTATCAAACTTGATATTTTGATGAAATTACAAGTGTTTTATAACTTATCTTTCTCCATGATCTTTTCAGCAAAACTCCCCTAATAAACTATTTTGTAACATTACTAAAAACTTAAGACAACTTCATTCCAAATGAGTACTCTCACCTCCTTATTCTAATTAAAAATTAAAATAAAAACTGCAACTTGAGATTAATTTTAGCCAGCATATTAAGACTAATTCTAGTCATCATACTGGTTGGGCTTGAATGCTGTGCAACTTGCCTGAGGGTACAGTGCTTAAGAATGTATAACAATTGTACAAAGGGATATTTTGATCTTCCCTAGATTATTTCACACAAATATGCACACAATACTTACAATATCTGTAACATGTTATTAGTGTCATTAAATAATCAACATGATTTCAACAGATGGTTTGTTGAAATACTCTACTTACTGAAACATTTATTTAAAAAAGTGTTTCCACTAACAAAAACAATATGTATTACTTGTAAGTGCCAACAGTGTGCTTGGCACTGTACAGGACACAAATTAAAAAGACACACATGAAAGCTATTTCCTATCATTAGATGGTTAATTTAACTGGCTAAAAAAAAAAAGAATAAAATCTTTCCTTGTGTGTACATTGTCCAAAACTGGTGATTCATCATTGTATGATATGGGAAAAGTTACAGCAAAAATGCAGAAGTTAATTTTAGTTCTAATAAAAAGGAAAGTTCAAGCCACACATTCTTTTTAATAAACATTGTTCATTAGGAAAAATGTAAAATCATTATTATTAATAGTTTAAAGGCTATAAAGATAGCCAGTCACATACACAAAAAGAGCTAAATGTGTATACATCCATGGAAGAGTCTTGCTCAGCAGTCATCAGATCAGGGTGAAACAGCCCATGACTATGTAAAACCCTAGAGGTCCCTTTTTTTTCCCCCCACAGAAATTATGTGAGAAATCAGAACTCCGTGACAAAACTTACAGACGTATACACAACTCACAGTAAACCAAATAGAGGAGTTTTCTTAATATATTTTGAATTTGGCCCGAGTATGTGACACAGATAGCACTGATCAGAACCATGCAGAGTTCAGGCAAATGTTAGTATGTAAGATTCGCCCCTTACAGTTCTGGCAATGCACCTCAATCTTGACCCCCATCAGAATCCTGGACCTCTCTCAAGACAAACTAGGAGAAGACATATGGGAATGGTATTTCTTTACACTGGGTCGAATCCAAAGCCCACAGAATTAAGTGGCAGGCTCTGTATGTAAGGGGGTGATAATTCTTCTTTTGAAATCAGCAGGGTTTGGATCAGGCCCATTATAAGAAATGTGAAGACTTTTAATCAAAAAACAACCAAAAAAAGTGGAAAATGTCTGTGGGAGCGCAGAAGGAGATGGCAGAGACAGCATCATGATATGTTGTAATCTGTCATCAAATCACAAATGGCCAGTATATTGACAAAAAGATACAAGACAAAATGCTAAATCACACTGTGAAACCATGTTCAAGCAAAACATTTTCTGACACAGATTTGAAAGTTCCATCTATTTCTTTAAAGCCCATAGTAACAAAAGCTTGTATGTCCTCTCACATCAAAAATACTGTTATTAAACTGATTTTACTGAATAAAGACATCAACTAGGGACTAACGTTGAACTGCACAACTGAAATAAATTATTATATATAAAAACAAAGTAACTTCTTTGGGGGAGGAGGGGGTTTGAAGTCAGACTGGGAGAGCCATGTGGCATATCTTATGGATAACATTACATTTATATACATTATAATTCTTGGACCTTCAAGATTCCTTACAACTACAGATAGAAGTCACTGTGCACTGCCAGATGCATTCCATAAGAGAAACTATGAAGGTTTCAAAATGCACAATAGACTGCTGTTTGACACAGCATTGCTAGTTTTAAAATGAAAAAGGTACCTTACCATCTTTTTTTAAAAAAACCCAAATAGTCCATGTAATAGATTTATCACCTATGTAATACCTTTTTTAAACACCACTTTGAGTTTATGAAGCGTTTTTAGCCCTTTTTACATAAAGAGTAATCTGTAAATGAACTCTGCGGCTGCCATTGTAATTAAAAGAACAAAATGCTCCAGGTTCGCCATGGTGAGCTCCTGCTCTCAACCCCAATGTGCGTGGCAGTGCATCATGCTGTTTCTAGACCAATGGCTGATCTGCAGTCAGTTCTGAATCACATGAAAGACTAAAACCTGATAATGTACTATAAAAAGGTCACCAGAAAGGAGCATTATACTCCATTTTACGTTTTGTGTCCTTGACTAGCAACAAATCAGAGTTAGGATTCAGAGTATCAGGGTGACAGCAGAGTGCTATTCAACCAAGCTGAGAGAAATTGTCACATAGAACAGCAGCTTCTTTTATAACTAGTTTTAACATTTAGAGATCGCTGTATTTTATAATTAATCTAATTTGATAGTGTTTTCATAGCCATTCTTTAGTTTTGACTTCACCCGTTAAATGGTTTCACATATATGTAAGAGGTTATATATGAAGTTTGTGTATTGAATGTATTGTACAATATACCCACTACCTTATTTAGACTCAAAATACTTGCAGCACCAAATTCAATATGTTTAAAAAAAAACCTATATCCATGAGGTTTTGCGGAGGGAGATTTACCTTATCCCAATAACAAGTCAAGTCTTGAACATGAAGTAGGACATTTTCGTTGCTATTCTCCAATTGCAGATTGAACTGTGAAACCTCATCAAGTATTAGAAAGTTCTGTAGTAAAAGAAAAAAACAGGGATTGCTTAACAGGACCCAGAAAAGTGAATTAAAAATAAAAGTGTTTCTGGGTATACAGTACAAAAATGGAAACGATATGTGACAAACTACTCTGACCTAGGAATTATGTTTCCAAAGCAACGTACAAAAACTTCAAACAGTATCCCATAATTAACTAACCATAACTGTGCATTTACCTATTGTTCCACCAGCAATACTATCCAGAAGTGTGCATTTCATGGAATAAAAATACTTCCAATGAGGTTTCAGGATTTTTTTGTTAAGAACTCTTATGAGAAAGTCGGTACCATAATCTGAACTTCAAAATCAGCTGAATTTTTGCTTTGAAATTTTGACAATAAAACAATATGGGTCTCCCCACTCTTTCTGCCCCATCTATAGCACCTTTACCCACCTGTCAGTAGTTTTGACTCTATATCTTTACTCATCACATAATATGACAGGTTTCCACACCCCTTTCTGGGATATTGCACTAATGAGCACCCCTTTTACACATCACCCCTCTCCCCCTTTTGTCACTAGCCCAGGCTTTCTAATTCAGTGGTTCTCAACTTTTTTGGGCTCAGGGCCCATTTGTAAATGTTTATGGCCTGTCGCAACCCAGTAAATAGTCCGGGAGTGGAGCCCCAGGGTGATTTTGGTCATGTCCTGTCCCCTGGGGGGGGGGGGGGTGATTGCGGTCTGCCCAGCACTCACCCCACAATGGCAGGTTCTGCAGCTCCTGTGCTATGGAGCTGACTGGACTTGGCTCTCTCTGGGGTTGCAACACTGCTCAGGTTTGCCCCTCCCCCCCGCTGACTGAAATAAATTTGTGAGAAGTGGAATTGCAATACAATTCACTCAAATTTGGCCTACCCACACGACCGTCATCATGACAGCTGGGCCAAACCTGAGTGGTGCTGGGACCCAGAGGTTGCAGTCCCTGGACCAGGAAGGCAAGCCCAGCCAGCCCCATGGGACAGAAGCCATTGGAGCTGCTACATGACCCCTTTGAAACATTTTGGAGACCCAATTTTGGGTCCTGACCTACGGAGTGAGAAACCTTGTTCTAACTGAATGTATGCTTAGAGTGGTGTATCTATAATACAGAAGTGGGCTTGAATGTATACTTAACTCTTTTAGGAAGTAGGGCAGGGGAGGGTGCTTGTGAGTGGTGTTCTGTGTTTGCATGTTGTATGTTTTGCTAAACATTTTTTTTCTTTTTTTAACATTTATCTGTCCTTCAAAAACTTCACTAAAATGAAGAGCCCTCCAATACAGCTGAAGACAATAGGTGCTAATTTCCAACAAATATATTACAGGTTATGAAGAAATACCTTAATTTGAGTAAATGGAATAAGAGAAATTGGAGTGCAGGTTAGACATGTATTCCCATTATGGTCTCTCTATCAGTCTGTTTAAAAAGAAATGCTAAAGGAATTGTGTGAAAGAAAAAAGAAGTTTTACTCCTGTTCCAGAATTAAAAAAGCAAATAAGGCTAATTGATAAATTTACACAGGTTTTGTAAAGAGTTTGATAGAAGTCTTTCTGCATACTTATTTTGCTTATTTTTTGTTTAGTTGTTTTTTTGTTTTATCCCCTTTAATTTATATATTAATATGATACAGTGAATAATCCCATAAAAAGCTGTGGGGTTATAAAAACCTTCAGACTAGATCAGGAAAATGCAGTGCAACTTGATATTCTATGATGTATGTGTAGGCTTGGCTTGACATGAACAATTATGGATGAGGCCTCATTTCTTGGAGACAGGAATAGGGAGGAAAATGGATAAGCAGGCTGGACACAGAATGTCTATACTAGCTAAGGTAAGGGGAAACACCCAGGGAATCATTTACCATGGACAAGATAAGCCTGGAACATAGGATGATGTAAATAGTAAGTTGTGCATGGACAGAATATGTTGTACAGGGATTGGCTCCTACAAAGTTACCAAGCCAATCCCAGAACATGTGATATAATGTGTAAATATATAAAAAGGAAGAGGTTTACTGTGTAACTTTAGATGTATGATACGCCCTATACGTATCTCCTATGCCTGTGTCTGTTCAACTCCATGTAGCTTTTCTGTATGCCAGATACAGATACAGGAACCTGAGTGACGAACTGGAGTCGGGCTGGATTCTTGGGGAACTGAGTGGAAGATGTCTCAGGGGAATCCCAACAATGAGAGTCTGCAGAAAGCCCACTCATTAAAGAATACCTTCTGTTAGGCTAGGCCAATGAGGTAGGGTTTGTTGCAAGCTCTCAGATCAGGGGTTTCTGCCACATGACTTGTCGGTGGGCAGGGGTGAGGGAAGTTTCACTTCTCTCTGTCTTTTTTCAGCTGTACTTTAAAAAAAACTTTCTTGGTCACCTCTGAAAAGAGGCTGTAGAACAACTCTGCACTGCACAACGTAACTAACTCTACAGTTATATTCTGTCTCTTTGTCACTAATACTTTGAAATCTTTGTGCAATTTTATTTTTTTAGAAATGTACTAACTGCAAATAAGAATATTTTCCTATCAAAAATGATTTTACACACACACACACACACACACACACACACCCCTACTTTATTCCTCTGGTAGTAAGCATTTCTACAACTACTTAGTAGATTTTATTTAGAAAGTACTCAATCGATAAAATACTTTTAGGTAAAAATGTATTAACTCTTCTTTATTCATCCGTCATTTAGACTTTGTATACCTGTTTATTACAAGACTTACTTTAGAATTGTATTACCTGGATGAATATTTTCTGCTAAAAATGCATGATTTTATATAATAATCCTTTATTCCTCTAACATTAAGGCTTTGACGGCTATTTAGAAATGTACTAAATGCATAAAAATATTTTCCTCTAAAAATAAGAAGTGTGTGTGTGGGTGTGTATTTATGTATGTATTAACACTTCTCCTTTATTCCTCTGACATTAAAGCTTTCATTTAAAAATACACTAACTACATATAAAGATATCTTTCTCTAAAAAAAGTGAAAAATGCAGTTAACATATTTATGCATTAACACTGTATACTATCATTACTAAGATTCTTGTAAATTATTTAATGACTTTCTTTAGAAATGTACTGTGTTAATACTATTTTCCTCTAAAAATGAGAAAAATCCATGTATGTCTATATATATGTATGTATTAACACTTCTTTTTTGGTCAGTAAGCTTTTGCACAATTATTTAATGCCTTTATTTGGAAAAGGACCAACTAGATAAAAAATTATCTAAAATTGCATGTTAACAGTTCTTTATCCTTCTGTCATTCAGAATTTGTGGACCTGTTTACTAGACTTTATTTAGTATTGCACTAAATGCATAAAACATATTTTCCTCTTAAAAGGAGGAAAAGGCATGAAAGCTATAGCTATTCATTTATTTTTAATGTTTCCAGTAAGCATAAATTAAATCAATTTTTTAAAAAAACTTTTTTTCCAAAGTAGCCGATGGTGGCAAAATATACCTGTATCTAAACATGATATCTAAAGGTCACAGAAAAGGAGAAAAGAGTAGGATGGACTTCCAAAATCATACGGCCTGCTGACTGGACAAAAAGAGGGCAAGACAAAAAGAGCAGCACAGTGTGTGAAACAGGTTCTCATTGGCACATCAACATAGAAAGGGAGCACGGAAACCTGCCAAAAATTATATGACAAGTAAAATTATAGAGTTAAAACTATTCCCCTCCTGTGTGATGTATGAAGGCCTCAGCGTGGGGTCCAGGATTGTGTGGATTTTTATAGGACTGTCTGGAGACAGGGCAGGCTAGGGATTGCGTATTATCTCCCTTCCAGGCTAGGGAAATTTATGCAAAAAAAGACAAGGCTTACGATTACATTATTTCTGTTGCTAAATCCCTCAGCCACTATGGTCCTTGGGATACAAGGAAATGAACACCATTCCTTCTTGGCTCATGTTTCCTCAACGGAATTGTTAAGTTCCAGTCGCAGAATCTCTACTACATATTGTACACAAGCATACACCTCAATTGTATTGTAGCCTCTAACACACTTAAGACACCAGGCAACAATGGCTGATGTGCAATTCAGAAAGAACAGAAGTAGACTTTCAGATCCCAGAGGTAATTTTCAGGGTTAACAGTTACCAAAAGTATCTTTTTTATTTATAAAACAAACATATTTGATCTGCAGTTACTGAGACACAGTAAACCAGGAAACCCCAGAATGGCTGCTCTTGGATGGAAAATATGCTGAACGGGTATCAGGCAGCTCTTGGAATAGTTGATTATGAAGCCAAGATTGGTTAGCAGATGTTGAATTCATAGTTAGGCATCCATAGGTAGACTGCAGAAAGTGGATGCTTGTTTAAGCAATTGCACAATTTTATATTTATACGTTAAGGGCTTTCCTTTTATTTTAACCAATATTCCTTCAAAATATGCAGATAGGATTAGTATAGGAGGAGGAGATTTTTGCTGACAATCCAATAGGGAGCACTATAGCAATAGTCCCCAGAATTCCAAGACATAGAATAGCGGACAGGGAGAAAAAAAAAAAAAAAAGAGTTGGAACGGAAGAGTTGGCTGGGTGGGGCTGAAGATGAGAGACACACTGGGGATTCGCTCCAGAAATGATAGAGAGTAACTAGAGAGAAAGAGACAAAGACGACAAGGGAAACAAAACTCATATAGGGGTATGTGAAAAAGATTTTTTGAATAAAAATCATGAAAACAAAGGGGACAAGCTGTTTGACTAATTCTGAGGAATTTATAGGAAAAACACAATGGTAAAATTTTCAAAAGTGTCTCACTGACTTTTGGTTTAAAGAACTCAGGGATCTCAAAATATTCCTTAGCACCTTCTGTCCTCAAGAATCTACCCTGCTGAAAGGAGTTAAGCTGCCAAAAGCCATCCATAGGAGTTTGAGAAGCAGACATTGTTTTAGAACAGGGATTTTGATATTGTCCTTGAGAGTGGATGCGACTATCTTCTGTATATGGGATGACATTTCACTATTTTCAAAACTGATTTTGGCACTTAGGTTCCTAACTCTCACTGAAAGTCAATGAGATTTAGACTAAGTGCTCATCATTTTTGAAAATAAGATTTGGGCACTTTTGAAAAATTTACTTTTAATTATTATAGTTTTATGAGACTCAATAATAGGAAGGGAACAGAGGACTCATTGCAGGTCATCTCCATGCCAGTACATTCTGCAGCATCAACCAATCAGCCCTTAACACCCATGAGAATACACAGGTTGCTAACTTTTAGAAGATCTGGCCACGCAAGTATGTAGAAAAAACTGAGTTACTAATAATTTTCTGAGCTTATGTTTGCAAACACAGTATACTAATTCAACTTCACATTATTGTGCAGTGGTGTACCATTATCAAAGGAAAGAGTAGTATCACCTAGGATTAACTTAGGTTAAGTATGGAAACTAGAAGTTTATCTGTAAGCAGAGACTGAAGAATGAAATCTCCTCCTCTGGAGAAATTCAAAGATAATTGACCTCTTTCAAAGAGTTCCTTTCCTATTGTTTTCAATGGGACTGAAGCCAAAAGCTGCACAGCTAAGATGCCTTTTTTCAAAGTGGCCACTGTCTTGCATTGTTCCCAACAGGAGTGAAGCCAAGCTGTCCCAAGAAAAGATGGTGGCCCACTCTGTCATCAGGAAGTAGAGATGAGCCTTTGAGGAGCACAGGAGCAGCCACGGAGGCGGTAGGCCATCTTCACCAAAGGCAACCTGTTGCCTCAGTCCCACTGAGAAAAATAAGAGATGGCAGCCATTTTGAAAAAGCATATTGTGGAATTCTGAGCAATAGAACGTTCTCCCCTCTGCTGAGGAAGAAACTTTCAGTTATGAAGAATATTGGCAAAAAAAGACCCTTAATCCTAAAATTTTTCTTCAAGTTTACCCAATACCCAAATTTTCAATGAATTATCACTACATGGGAAGTTTGAACACTCTTTGTTATTCCATTACGAAGACCATTTGGGACCAAAAAAGGTCTGAGACAGGATTCTAAAATTTCCTTAAAGGACCCAGTATTTAATTACATTTTAACACAAACTAATTAATAGCTTTCTAAATTCTCAAAAAAATTAATTCTGCACTTCAAAAATTAAGTGCTGTAATTTTGAGGAGGCTCTGCTGGCACTGAGTCCCTGCTGCAACTGGTGCCTCCACATTGAAGGGAAGAATTTAACCACAAAAATATAGTTGCAGCTTTAAGAAAAATAAGAAATTTGCAGTCAGCAGTAAATATTTAAATAAAATAACATTGTGTAACTCCTTATCATATCTCCAGAGAAAACTAATATATAAGTATTTGATGCATTGTGATATACTACAATATTACTCAAAGCAAACTCAAGAGACCTTGCTGTTGAATTTTAAAGCAAGTACTTCTCTAGTATGAATTCTCTCCTGAAATATAACAGAAAGGAAGCTGTAGCACCTCCCCGCAACCCCCAGAAACATAGGTCTATTGTACTTTAGAGTACTGTAGTGTAATTCAGATATTTTCCAAAGTACTGTATACAAATAAATGGGATAGTCTATTTTGGAACAAGGTCATGCCATAGGAATCCAAAACGCCACAAATTCCAACATAAAGTCAAACATAAATCCAAAAATTTGTTTTGGCGACGCTAAAATATTGATGGAACAGTATATATATCCATCAAACATCAAATCCAAAAATTTCTCAGTTTCTCAGTGTACCTTGATTCGTCGTATGCTGATCATTGCCTCAGATGCTCTCTCAACAGCCGCAGGGAAGAAGAGAGTGACAGTCAGTCTCACTGCACCATATAGTGACACCGCCATGAACACCCGACTTGCAGAAATAACATTGCCAAGTAGGACATATGTCATGAAAGTCAGAAAAACTGTTATTTTGCTTGCAACAAAGAACGATGCCAAGTTCAATCCTCGAAGATAGGAGCTTTTAAGAACCATGGAAATCTCCTTCCTAAAAACATAACACAAAATAGTTTCAAAGCTATGACTATATTAGACCATACACACAGGCTCACTCTCATCCTGGACTTCTTTTAATAATAGGAAAACACCCAGTTTCAGCATTTTGTTATTAACTGTTGGGATATTTTAATTGCTTTTATGCAAGGATACATGATGTTAAAAATAATGTACTCAAGAATGATTGCTAAAACAGTATTGAATTTGGCAAATAGTAATAAAATAAAACAATAACACAGGAGCTTCTAAATAGGGCTTAGAATAATATTTAAATGCAAGGTTCTTCACCAACAGCTATAGGAAAGGAAAGCTCTAAATAAGACTACTTTTTTTCCAAAGGAGGAAGAGCAAAATGAAGTGCTTTCTTGTATCTAATTTAATCAGGATACAAAGCATCACTTTGAGAAACTGATGCAATTCTGAAAAAAATATACGAGTTCAGCTATGGAATGCTGGTCCAAATGAACTTGTGTAGCTAGTTGGTTGCCAATTCCTCTGGCTGAATCACAGGCCCCGCAATGTTCCCTGTTCTTGTTCCAGATCCTTCACTGGATTTGGGCCCTATTCCTAAAACTGCTGATCTAGTTCCTGACAGCTGTGATCCACAGCTGTGACCTCTGTGCCAGCTATTCTGCCAACCATTACACTACCAACCCGGTGCTGGGCGGACCGATTCAGTTCATAGGAATACAAGGCTGTTCACCTAATTCATCTCCCCGTAGAGATCTGAAGGTTGCTGGAGCATATGTTTTCCAAACTAAAATTTATTTTCAAAATCTTTAATTTCCATTTATAAATTAGTCATTCAATATGGAGGTTGAGAGAGCACTGACAGAAATGCAGGGAGAGACACAGAAGCTGCAGCAAGCAGGAATTCTGCTTCTCCCACCACAAACAGCAACAGGCAGAGGCTCCTGAATGAAAAGGTTTACAGATACCAAACAGTTCGGGAAACAGTGAGATTGCAGCCCAGAGATCCAGCCCCAGACTGGTTAAACTACAGAATGCCACCCTTGAGAAAGGTCTCAGAGTAGTAGCCGTGTAGGTCTGTATCCGCAAAAAGAAAAGGAGCACCTTCTTTGTGGCACCTTACAGACTAAGAAATTTATTTGAGCATAAGCTTTCATGAGCTACAGCTCACTTCATCGGATTCATTCAGTGGAAAATACAGTGGGGAGATTTATATACATAGAGAAAATGAAACAATGGGTGCTACCATACACATTGTAACAAGAGTGATCAGGTAAGGTGAGCTATTACCAGCAGGAGAGCAGGGGTGGGGTGGGGGGAGGAACCTTTTGTAGTGATAATTAAGGTGGGCCATTTCCAGCAGTTGACAAGAAGGTCTGAGGAACAGCGGGGAGAAATAGTTTTACTTTCTGTAATGACCCATCCACTCCCAGTCTTTATTCAAGCCTAAATTAATTGTATCCAGTTTGCAAATTAATTCCAATTCAGCAGTCTCTCATTGGAGTCTGTTTTCAAAGTTTTGTTGTTGAAGAATTGCCACTTTTAGGTCTGTAATTGAGTGACCAGAGAGACTTAAGTGTTCTCCAACTGGTTTTTGAATGTTATAATTCTTGACGTCTGATTTGCGTCCATTTATTCTTTTACAAAGAGACTGTCCAGTTTGGCCAATGTACATGGCAGAGGGGCATTGATGGCACATGATGGCATATATCGCATTGGTAGATGTACAGATGAACGAGCCTCTGATAGTGTGGCTGAATTGATTAGGCTCTATGATGGTGTCCCCTGAATAGATATGTGGACACAGTTGGCAATGGGCTTTGTTGCAAGGATAGGTTCCTGGGTTAGTGGTTCTGTTGTGTGGTGTGTGGTTGCTGTTGAGTATTTGCTTCAGGTTGGGGGGCTGTCTGTAAGCAGGGACTGGCCTGTCTCCCAAGATGTGTGAGAGTGATGGGTCATCCTTCAGGATAGGTTGTAGATCCTTGATGATGCGTTGGAGAGGTTTTAGTTGGGGGCTGAAGGGGATGGCTAGTGGCGTTCTGTTATTTTCTTCTTTGGCCTGTCCTGGAGTAGGTGACTTCTGGGTACTCTTCTGGCTCTGTCAGATGGGTATTGTAGTTGTAAGAACACTTGATAGAGATCTTGTAGGTGTTTGTCTCGGTCTGAGGTGTTGGAGCAAATGCGGTTGTACCGTAGAGCTTGGCTATAGACAATGGATCTCGTGTGGTGTGTCCTGGATGAAAGCTGGAGGCATGTAGGTAGGCATAGTGGTCAGTAGGTTTCCGGTATAGGGTGGTGTTTATGTGACCATCGCTTATTAGCACCGTAGTGTCCAGGAAGTGGATCTCTTGTGTGGACTGGTCCAGGCAGAGGTTGATGGTGGAAATTGTTGAAATTCTGGTGGAATTCCTCAAGGGCTTCTTTTCCATGGGTCCAGATGATGAAGATGTCGTCAGTGTAGTGCAAGTAGAATAGGGGCATTAGGGGACGAGAGCTGAGGAAGCGTTGTTCTAAGTCAGCCATAAAAATGTTGGCATACTGTGGGGCCATGCGGGTACCCATAGCAGTGCCGCTGATTTGAAGGTATACATTGTCCCCAAATCTGACATAGTTATGGGTGAGGATAAAGTCACAAAGTTTAGCCACCAGGTTTGCCGTGACATTATCGGGGATACTGTTCCTGACGGCTTGTAGTCCATCTTTGTGTGGAATGTTGGTGTAGAGGGCTTCTACATCCATAGTGGCTAGGATGGTGTTTTCAGGAAGATCACTGATATATTGTAGTTTCCTCAGGAAGTCAGTGGTGTCTCAAAGGTAGCTGGGAGTGCTGGTAGCGTAGGGCCTGAGGAGGGAGTCTACACAGCCAGACAATCCTGCTGTCAGGGTGCCAATGCCTGAGATAATGGGGCGTCCAGGATTTCCAGGTTTATGGATCTTGGGTAGCAGATAGAATACCCCTGGTCGGGGTTCCAGGGGTGTGTCTGTGCGGATTTGTTCTTGTGCTTTTTCAGGGATTTTCTTGAGCAAATGGTGTAGTTTCTTTTGGTAACCCTCAGTGGGATCAGAGGCTAATGGCTTCACCTGATGGCTACACTTCAGATGGACACAAAAGGAGTCTAAGTATAACCTCTGTAGGATTCTAGATTTATAGCTAAGGTGAGAAAGGAAATCCCATGCTACTCCCCAGAGAAAAATATTTTGCAGGTTAAAGTCAGGAGAGCCAGTAAGCAGGATTGCAAGGATGAAACTCTTTATCAACAGAGGACGTCTGATTAATAGGCAATAAACCAAATGTGAAAACAAGAAAAATGGTGATTCTGTATTCACACTTACAAGAAACCAAATTAATAAACATCAAAGAATTTTTTTCTGCCCTCAAGACAAACTCATATTGTCACCCCTTATGCAGAGGTGAAGAAAAAAACTACAACGCTATACAAGGATTCTAGGAAATTTCTGGATTTTAAATCCAAAAACTTAAATGAATTTAGATCAAATACCATGGCATAAATTTCAGTGAAACACGGATTACCTTCTTAAACTGCTAACTAATTCTGAAAATGATTTTTCCCAGGCATACATCTTTATTATCCTCATACTAGCTATGACTTCATTCATTGTCCTAATCCTGGCATCTGTCAAAGCTGCAGTTCTGCTCCTGTAATTAAAAGAAAAAGTTCTCAGATTCACAACTAAAGTGACTGTTCAATACTGTACTGTTACACTTATACAATAAACTTTGACATGCAGTAAAAACCTGGGTTTTGTGTTCTCATCTATGCAATTTCCAGCGAATAGCCTAGCATTTGTCTACACCAGGAGTACAGAGCATTGCATGTACCCATATATACAGACACTGTGATTATATGCCCTATTTTTAAAAAAGAAAATGTATTTTTGCATGGTTAAGAATAACTGAAATATATTTTGGCCAGAGTAAGAATATTTGCCAATAAAAAAGACAACCTGATAAATAAAATGCCTCTCATCAAGTGTAATATACAATATAATAGAGATTTTCCAAACGTATTTAAAAGACAAGATAAAAAAAAAGGGAAGGAAAAATACTGGACATTCAAGAAGTAAATAATCTGAGTTGAAAATGCCAAAATATAAACATTTCTCCAAGACAGCAACTGCTTTTTCTGCCAACACAAAGTGGGGAAAGAGGCTCTTCTGAAGAGGTCAATGAATGGGATTGATCTGATCTTGGTCACTTCTATGGCTAATTCTGCCTGAAGCACAGCATAACTCACGATATGGAGCATTAAAAGTAATTAGTTATAATTAGGCCAGGCGAGAAAATTTTCATCAAGATTAAATTCTTTTGACAAATGAAGGGGAAAAAAATGTGAACTCTTGTTTTCTGACCAGCTTAAAATATAATAATATTCTGTATCCAGAGCTATTGATACCTCACACGCAGGTCGTATAAACTCAGTTAACAACTACCAAAACCAGCAGTTTCTTCGAGAAGCAGTAGGACAATATGAGAGGGAAAGCAGACCACCTCTAATACTACAGGAAAGGACAGTGGGTATCTATTATACTGAAAGCAAGAATTGTAAGGAAGAAATTTTCTTGTAAATACATATATTTCCAGACTTTACAACTTAAAATCACCAGGGATATTTCCAAAAATAATATAAAATATTGGTACAAAAGTGAAAGGAAGTGATAACAGGAAACAATGAGAAACAGTCACTATTTGTTGATAACTGTATAAAATATGACAGCAGGATTTGTTGTTTAGGTTGCATTAAGCATATCTATTCTAACCCCATATTTCCTGTTGCTTATAACCAGGGATTCTAGACATCCATTTGCCATGGAATTTGCATTTTTACAGAGAATCTTTAGTTTTTACATTTTGTGAATAAAAACCTATGTAGTAGAACCCCATTTATCTGAGCCTCCATTATCCAGCTCTCCGGATTAACCGAACCAGGACTGACAGCCCGAGCCCCAGGCGACGGGACTCCCGCTGTCAGCCCCAGGCAGCGTGGCTCAGGCTTCAGCTGAAGTTGCAGCCCTGCTACCCAGGGCTGAGGCTCTCCGGATTATCCAAATTATTGATTATCTGATCTGGCCCCAGTCCCAATTAGACTTGATAAAAGGGGTTCCTCTGTATCAATAAAATATTGTGTTCAACTGATACCCATATATATTGTGGCTAGGGAAACTATGGTACAGTGTTTTATTTTAATTGTGGGAAAAAGACAGACTTTTTTTTTTAAACAGAGAATTTTGGTTTCGTTTTTCTTGTTATCATGGAAAATTAGGATCTCTGCTTATAAATAAGGTCCGAGTTTATCATGGTGAACAAATTTAAAAAAAAAAACAGCTTCTTAAATGGTAAAAAGTCACCGTTTAAACTGGGGAAAAATTAACACATTTTTGCGTATGTATGAGATGGTTCCTTATTTTTAAAGTATTCTAAAACCATATTGAATTCATTCATGTAGAAAAGAAAACACAGTAAACATAAAATATTAATAAATTCTTATTTACAGTAGGGTTTATTTTGACGCATCATGTGCTAAAATTTTCCACCGTTGCTACTACCAGCTCAGCTCCACTAACAGCAGGAGCTATTGGAGCACTAGTGTAGCCAAGGCACTAGCACATCAGGGCTAGACAGCACATTCTATCTCGGTGCTCCAACCACTGCTACTACTGTTGGAATTGGAGAGAAATTTCAGAGAAAATAGGTTTGTGTATGCATAGCCAAAGAAGCCGTCCTGCAAAGCATTTTTCTTTCATATAAAAGTTGTGTTTAGAGATGACAGGATATCTGTAAAACCATGTCACTTAGGAATATAGCACATGATGTATTAAAATAAACCCTACTATAACTTTTATAAGAATTTATCAATATTTTATGTTTACTATGTCTTCCAAATGTAAACAAGGTTTGCTAGTAGAACACAGGAAGACGATATAGTATCAGTTACTCTTGTTTCATGTCAGGAAGATTAATAATAAAAAATAATCCTTTTCATGGTTTTTAAACTCCCCCAGTGAGGGTACATATACACAGCCAAAGTAGTGAGTCTCTGGGTCAAGAGACTCGGGCTCGCGGGGCTTGCACTACTGCACTAAACACAGACGTGTAGACATTGCAGCTCAGACTCTGAAGTCTAGGGAGGAGGGTAAGCTTCAGAACCCGAGTTCAGACCTACACACAACTTAAAAGCTCTGTCCAAACAGCTATTTTTAGTGTGGTAGCATGAGCCCAGTGAGCCTGAGACTGTTAACCTGGGCTCAGAGGACACAAAGTTAAGTTTCCTATGGTAATAGTCCTCAATGGGAGCGTCTTCAAGTGTTCCAGTGAAAATTAGTTTTTATTTGAATGAGTTATTACCCATTGCAAAGTCATATTTGCGCACGCACACTGGAGGCCAGATTCTCACTAGTGTAAATCAGAGTAGCTCATGGACTTCCATGGAGCTATGACAATTTATGCCAACAGAAGACCTGGCCCCAGATTTTAAAAAGAACAGATCTAAGCTCAGCACATGCACATGTTAGTTGTGCTACGCATGCACTCACACCAAATTTAGGTGTGAAAAGGAAATATACCGAAGGTTTCCTATAGACTTCCTAAACTATGCATGAGAAGGTCCCTTGTATAGTCCTCATAAAGTGCTTACACTCGAAGTCAATGGCAAAACTCCCACTGGCTTTAATGATAGCAGCCACAGTGCATGAGACAGCGGATAAGAGTCGTGCCTAGCCCAATAGTGGAATTAATCTTTTCTAACTTTTTCTCTTTTAAATCACATAAAATATTACATTTTTAAGTACATTTAAAGAGAATGCTACTATTACATAGTTAAGTCCTGAAAAAGACTGGAAATTATAATGCTAAGATTGCTCACACTATCTGAAGGTTGTTCCTATGCGTATATTTACAATACAGTCTTCAATTTCATGATGACAAACTGTTTCTCAAATAATGCAGTATAATACATACATTTTGTATAAATGTTTATGTGCGGCTAACAGTAGTACCATATAATACAGTGTCCCAGAGACCACAAAGGTAATTTATATGACAAGTACACCAGTTAGTCTTATTCAAGACATTACAGAATAAGGGTCCCATTCTGAAAAATAGGCATTGAAGTCAATGGTACTATTTGCATGAGCCAAGTTACTAACATACATAGATATTTGCAAGACTGGGGCAGAAGTATAAAATGCTGCATAATAATGAAAGTTAGCTTCTCATGCAGAGCCCACCTAAACTTGTAGCAGTGGCTCCAATCCTGCAATTAGCTCCACACAGGTGGACCCCTGTGCCCAGGCAGAGCCCCAGTCACTTCAATGCCCACACATAGCTCATTGCAGGATTGAAATCTACTTCAGCTTCATTCCCTGAACTGCAAATAAAGAAAGACTTACACATATGTGTGCAGATAAGTATCTTCCTCATCAACATATTCCTTCCCCTGTGCTGAGCCTAAGCAAGGATCTGCTGCTGGTTGAAAAACATTGAATATTACATGGCCACTGACTAATTATTACAATACATAACTTAGAGAAGATAATTTCTCACCTTGTTGTGTGACCTTGGTCAAGTCACTTAATCTCTCTGTGCCTCAGTTTTCCCATCTGTAAAATGGGGATAATAATGCTTACCACCTTGAAAAAGCACATTGAGCTCTATGGATGAAATGCACTATGCAAGTGCTAAGTATTATAATGATTGTTAATATAAAAAAGCCTAAGTCAGTAAAACTAAATTGGATCATTACAAGAATGAAAACAGTGCAAGTGTATAGACTGAAAAAGTTATTAAAACATGGTACATGTATGTATAACTAAAGTTGTGGGGAAAAAACTGTATTCATATATTCATAGATACTAAGGTCAGAAGGAACCATTATGATCATCTAGTCTGACCTCCTGCACAATGCAGGCCACAGAATTTCACCCACCCACTCCTGCGAAAAACCTCTCACCTATTATTTTATTATTTGAGAAATAGTAAGCGACCATGTAATTGAAGACTGTATCATAGTGAACATGCACAAGGAACAGCATTCTATGGGTAACTCAAATTTGGTAATTTCCAGACTTTTGAGTGCTTAGCTATGCAATAGCAATGTCAGTTTGACTATTTTCACAATATTCTACCTTCAACCAATCTTAAAACAAATTAAAACGTCAGTACCTAGCCATATAGTTTTTATCATATAAAGACAAAGTAGGAAACTATTCACACTATAACAGGTTATGGCACAAAGAAGAGCCAGGCCAAGCTCACAGACATCCACTCGTTACTCAAATTAAAGAGCTTTAATAACATTCTCAGACAAAGCTACCAAATGCTTCATTAAAACAATATGTGTATGTGTTCAGAATATGTTTGTAAAATAAGTTATCTATTAATTTAAACACATTACTAGAACTTTGCCATTACAAAAGTTTGAAAGTTAGGAAATGAGACTACTGTAGTTTAAAAAAAACTATCTTTTCTCAATATGTGATTGGGGGGGAGGGGGGAGAGGAAGCTGGTGGGGTGGGGAGAGCCATAAGGTCTGAATCCTGGTTAGAAAGCTACTGCAGAGCCACTATACATAAAAACTCTTCCTGTTACAAATCTTGCACCACTACTGGAGTCCTCAGGAGCCCATTGCCATCCCACCCCCACCCCATTGTTTCCTCACACCCTCTCCCCACTTTCAAGACCCTGAATCACAGGTACCATTCTTACAAATGAGGAGCCTTGCATAGGAATCTTTTTAGAGCTTCTGACTGCAACATCTTCATCATCCTCAGAGGTCAAACCTTGTGAAAAACCAAGGCACTCTCTTTTTCATGTTGCAAGGAATAACAGTATTGTCCACAACAATCCCAGTCCCTAAATGTCCATGCAGCGAGATATCAAGGTCAAGATTTTTCAAAATATCAGACTTCCAAGTCCATATGTAGGCAAGCAAATAAGCAACCTGATTTTCAAAAGGATTTAGCACCTAAGCAGGTCCCAGTGACTTTAATGGGATTTGCTGGATGCTCAGCACTTTTGCAAATCACATCTCTTATTTTAGGTGCTACTTTTTGAAAATATTGGCAAACAATTGGAAATTGAACGAAGGGCCTTGCCCATGGCAGTTTTGACATCAGGCCAACCAAGCACATGCACTTTCAAAACCTGCACAGATAATGTGCACCACAAAAGTTTACCTTACCTTAGTGAAGAAAACAACCTCCCAATACAGGTTTGTAAAGGAAGTAGAATAATCAGAATTGCCATTCCTGCAAGGCATGATGGGCCTATTTCAATCCAGAGAAGAACAGTTACTGCTATAGCTTGAAGTGGTCCAGCCCATAAAAAGTGTAAGAAAATTGTTACCTGCACAATTAATTAAGATATAAAAACAGCTTTTAGCATTAATTGAAAAGACAAAAATACAAACAATAAAACCCTTATCAGCAGAGAAATTTTATATATAAATATATATAATATTCAATTTTAAAATATAAATTTTTGCATGCTTTGTGCTTCTGGTAGACAGTCTGAAAAATAAGCCTGCAGAAAGATTATGCAGGTGGGGGCGGGGAGAGAGATTGATTCACAGCCCAGTTATTGAGAGAGAACTAAATAATGGTTTTAAAAATCAGTATCCTCAGATAGTTAGAGTGCAGGCATTTTCATAAATGGGAAAACTGTACAATTATGCATCAGTAACTTTAGAGTATCCTGTATTCCAAGACAATTCCATGAGTATAACATGTGTCCTGTCATTTTCTTGCTTCATTTACAAAACTTATAATTGTCTGCCAAAACAGTTCAGCTATTTCTGAGAACAAGGTTCAGGAAAAATATGTTTTGCCCATGTTAAAAATTCCACCAGCCTTTTCTTTGAGAAGCTCTAGCATTCCTTTTCTTTCGGAGCAGGGACTTGAAATGTGGCAAGGAGTGGCCATAGTATCAGAAATGTGCCTTTTGCCATCTCCAGGAAAATTCACCCAAATTTGCTCAAGTAATAAACCCTTGAAAAAAAATCACAGTTCACACACGCTGAACAGAGACTTGTTAGAGTTTAAGGTCTAAATCTCTGAAGAGTCTATCCTCACTGAACATGCTCCAGCCTCCCACGAGTCCTAGTGCTGAACATATTGCACACGGACCATCACCACAGAGCCTATAAGGAAATCAATAATCTGTATTCAGGGCAAAGTTTGAATAGTGCACACTAAATAAGGCCTACGGCCACAGCTGATTGATGAGGATAAAACAAAATACTGACTGCCTGTTCATTCAGTGAGTTCCATCCTTCCTATGCACTGAAACTGATAGGGGTTGTGGAAAATATAGTATGTGCTGATGTAATCAGAGACTGTAAGGTATTTTCTAATTTTGAATGCTTGACTTTGCAACTTTAATAATGTTCTTTTAATGTAGTTTTTTGTGGAGGTATTTTTTAAACATTTTGTTTAAATTTAAAATATTCTAGTAAAACACACACAACATTAGGGTGCTGCCTATTAATTCAACAGCAACACTGCCTTCAGATATCAGTTCAGCCCAGGATACCTTATCATAAAGCATGGAAGTGTTTCCCAGTTTTTACAGTAATCCTGGTTGAATTGCAGCTTAAAAGCTAAAATGAAGAGTTTTAAATGTGTTTCAGTTCACTCAGCACAACCTTTTAAAAACTAAAACCAAAAGCATCTCAAATAATTCAGTCAATTGCAGAGTTGCCTTTAATACACTTACATGCACCAGCACTACGCCGGGTTTATAAACACAGCAAAAATATCTACACACAAAAAGAAAACAGATTATTTCCCAATTTCAAGAAGATATTGCTATTAATATGTTTGGTAAAACCACCTTTAAAAATCAATACTAAATTATGAGCCTAAGTTGTCACTTTAACAATGATTGTAAAGTAAAACCTCATATGCCTCACCCCTCAAATATTGCAGCTTGGACCCATCTCTCATCTCCTTACCAGAATTGTCTAAGACCACCAATAATAAGTCTCACCTGATCAAATTTGTTCACATCATTTGATAAAAGATTTACTATTTGACCTGTGGTAGTTTTTCCCAAAGCTGTGTTACTGAGACGAAGTGCCTGAAATAGAAAAAAAAAATCAAGCATTCTTAAATTATTTTAAATTAACTACCACATTGTATGATATCAGAATAGATGCATTGTCTCTTCTAAAGCCTAGATGTACTACTGACAAATCTGGCATCAGAGCTATGAATTATGAGGTATTTTTAAGATGAAGACACATGAGAATTCTTGGAACTGCAGTTTAAAGGCCTCAGTTAAAACATGGGCTCAGTTAAAACATGGGCTCAGTGATTAAGATTTGGCTCTGAAGTAGAAAACACATATAGAATAATATATTGGGGGGAGGAAGCAGAATTGATATTAAAAATCTATTTCCCTCTGCATTTCCAGAAGTAACTCAGAACATGAAACTAATATGGCAAAATATTAAACCTGAACCAAAACCCCCCACATGCATCCCTCCGTCAAGAACACTTGAGCAAAACTAGACTGGAAATCTCTATCCTAAAGACTCAATTTGACCAGCTGACGCTTTGCCCCAATCTTCCAATGATAAGAATAGAGAACACTGCAAATACTAAAATACGGGTACTGTAAATATGAAGATGCAGGGGGGAAAATGCCAAGACTTTTAATGATGCCCACTGTATACTTGAAATATATCTTTAAGAGGCAGATCAAATAGTTATTGGAGTTGTTATTTATATTGCATCACTACTGAAAATATTGCCGGTGCTTTCCAAATAGTCTCTTCTCCAAAGAGCTTGCAACTGAAAGCCCTCCTGATCCTGCAAAGACATAAGCATGTGCTCATCTTCCAGCAAAGTAGTCTCACTGATTTCAGGATCTGGGCCTAAATAGGAGAGACAGACAAACCACCATTCAACCAGTAAAATGTCTGAAGTGGTCTTAGGTACAAGTCTTATTAGTTATGTTTGTGTGTTACGTTCCACCAACTCTCCCTCCTTTTTCTAGGCACCCCAGCTAACCTGCTTCACTAGTGCAGCCCCAACTTGCCCACCCTACAAAGATTCAGGCTGATATCCTCTGAGAAAGCAATCAGCCAGACATTTCCCATATTAATAGTTTAGTTTCTAAAGGCTACCTAGGGCTTGGAGAAGGTGTACACAAGAGCACACCTACAGCACACCTGCTGCTCACTCTATCATTCTCTGCCACTGGTATGGGTGGGGGAGAACCCTCCCTGTAGTCACTGGCAGCTCTTGCAGCTTAACTGCTCTCAAATTAGCATGTTTGTCATAAAAGAAATCTCAGAGAAACATTTACATTTTCCTGACAAAAAGAACCAGCCTAGACCTAAGTCTAGAGAAGTGGCAATGTCAAACACCAAGCAATGGCCTTAAGCTTGTAACCAGGTTCCATCAAAAAACCCTATTTTAGCTCTCTCCCAATCCACTAAAATACTGACGGGGAATGTTGGTTTGGCCTGAAAATTGCCAAATTTACTCTAAAGGCAAAAGAGAATTTCTTGAGGGATTAAAGAAAATTTACCAAGGTGGGGTTTTTTTTGTTTTTTGGTTTGGTTTTTTTTGAGTTACAGACTATTAAACTCATCATTAAAAAGAAACTCTGATTTGAAATTTTTCTATTTGTCAAATGTTTATCTCTTTCTAGCACAAAAAACAGATTGGTTAATGTCCCTTTGAATTTTCCATATACTTACAGATCCTTGTAAACACGTGGTTGGGCTATATTTGGGCTGGGGGGGGGGGGGCCGCCGGGAACTAGGTTGGAATTACATAAAATCATTACTGATTGTTATGGAGAAGTTAAGGTGAATCCTATTCCCACTGCTGTCTTCTTCTGAAATGCTGCCTTCTTTCACATATGAACTCATTGGTCCTTTGTCCATTTCCTTCCCCCTGTTACAGGCAGTTCTACTCTCCTCCCAACCAGAAATACCATCTAAATAATACTGACATCAATCCCTGGATTAGGATTTGTTTTAGAATCAGGTTAACTAATTCTGGTCTCCCTTCTTAGACCTTTGTTCTCTCCCTGTTCCAAATTGTTGGTTGCAAGTATAGAAAGATAAAGAGATATCACGGAAGAAAGGACCAGTTTTTTTCCACTGAAGGGACCGTTGTCATGTTTTAGAGTAATTAGCCCACCCTGTCCCAACCAACAAATCACTGGTCTCACAACTTGAGCTGTTTTGTTCTTTTCATTTCTGCCAAACTGAAGAGAATCCTTAGAAAATGAAGCCAATTATTTTTAAGAGAAGCAATGCATCGATGATCTTTGTGTTACAGTATCAGACTGAGAATTAGTCATGAGACAGATTCTCGTCCCATCTTTACAACCGAGTTCCTGAGTGCAGCATCTTATTACTAATACTTTTTAGTATACACAAAACATCTTTTTGGAGTTTTAACACCACAAATAGACAATGATTTGTTCTACAGATAAAATTCGTTTTCTATCACTTCAGATGAAGGGAAAGGGAGTACAGAAATTTAAGTAACTAGCATTTGAACTTCAGTACCAGGAATCTGTCATTTACTATGGTTAACAAAACCAGCACACATAATGACACACAGCCACCACTGACAGAAACTTAGCATAACAGGTGTATATTTACGACAGATATTAATGAATGCCAAAAAGAAGTATAGGGGAAGTTAGCATTCAGCTTTTCTTTTAAAACTGTATATCAAGGATTTATAAAAGGTATGACCTATCCACACACCTCAAATGAGGATAACTGATTGCCAAGTTATTGGTGTTCTACCATTACCTCAATCTTTACCCTGGGGAGCAAACATTTATGAGATGAAAGAAGATTAATATTCAATTTAATCATGCCTAGAAATAAAGTACACAATGTGAACATTTTGCCTTTCCAAGCTTTCAGCCCTCCAAGTGAATTATCCACACTGAAACAAACAACACTTGCTATACAAATATTTCATGAATTTCAAGCAAAGTGTGTTATGATAATCAGTATAGTAAATTAATTCCTTAGAGATATGTTTATGTACAAGAAAGTAGTGTGCCATGTTAGAACTGAGTTCCCAGAGGATAATTTCCAAGGTATCAGAAGAGGGAGGAGGATAAATATGTGCATAAAAAACAACAATTCACCAGTCCAATGGCCTGAGACATTATTCCCTACTTTTTTCCTCTCTTAGTTTACTATAAATTATGGAGTCCAAAGATGAGGATGGAGAGAGGAGAAATCTAAATGTTAACTTTAAGTGGGGGTATTACATGTTTTAGAACAGAGGACGGGTTGGGTTTTCCCCCTCTTAAAAAGAAAGATTGATTAAAATTCAATCTGAATGTAATCTAAATATCTAATCCCTGCCTAAACTTCATTTCTGAGGCAAGGGTGAGGAGGGCACTGCTCCAAAAATTTGGAAGGCAGGTAATTTAAGTCCATCAGAGCCCCTAATTGTATAGATAGTACATTCTCCCCTCTGCCACCTCCTGTATGGTTCCTACATGCAGGGCTGATAAGAGGTGGAGAAAATAAGGGACTGTTGTACTGGGACCCTGAGGTCAGGGGGCCCCTCAAAGTGTTTTGTGTAAACAAAGTGAAATGGGAGGGAAGGCAGTGAACATGATGCACTGGGGCCCCAAAATTTCTCTTGACAGGCTTACCTACATGGGAGGTAAAAGCAGAGAGAGGCATGGTGGCTTGAAGGCTACCACCAGCCACAAAGAAGCTACCGACAGCTAGTAAGGCTATGGCTTCTCAAGAGCCACACTGGCAATGGACGAAAGCAGCTTTTCATCCTGTGAGCTGCCCAGCTACTTTCCCTGCCTGCTCTGGCCTGGTAGTCGCTACTTCTGCTTCTGTTCCACTGATCACCTGGCTCCTCTCCCTAGATGGTGATTGCCACATGTTGATCAGCACATGTAGGTGAAAAAAATGCAGACACAGGGGTAGAATTAACTGACAGGCCACAACTTCAGTAACTTAACGATGGAGAGGAGTGCTATCTGCCCACCCCTGCTCACATACCAAGCACTTAATTGGGTCCAGCAGAGAATCACAGGACTCTCACTATAATCAATAACTCAGGGCAAACCCTCTTCAGCCTAAACCCTAGAACTCAACTCATTCCTGACTCCTCTCACCCTCCCCTCCACATGGGAGATAAAGGGTACTAAGGGTGAATTCAGACTGCAAAGACTTCAGGTCTCCCCTTCTTACAGCAACAGGTTCACTAGCCACATCCCAGGCCTCATTTACCTTTGGGACCTGGCCCTTTGAGCCTTTATTCACACTGGACACCAGGCTCATGTTGCAATGGACTAACATTTCTGTATTCGTCCTAGTTAAATTCCCATCCTATTCTTACTCCTTTTAACCTGAAATGTGTGAAAAACCCTCTGGGCCTGCCAAGAAAAAACAATCCTTCCGGATCCCAGGAACTGGTCATCAGTCAGCCCCACAGCATCCTGGAAAGACTGCTCAATATACCTCAACTGCAGGGAGGGAAGGTGGGGCAGCAATACTGCACCTAGGGAGGCTTTCATTTGAGAGGAGGGAGCTGTGAGAGCCAATCAGCTCCTCTAATGCCCTTCCTGGTTGGTCAAAGGGAGGCAGAGAAGCCCCTCCCCCAAGCACAATCCCACAAGCACTTTGAGACATAAGGAGAGGCTTGGCTCCAGCCTGTCTGGACATGAGCTCTCCTCTTCCAGGAGTTGGCTATTCCCCTACTTGTTTGACCAAACTTCCTCCCTGCTGAGACAGGAAGGCAGTGGGTGGCAGGGGTGGGGGTGGGGGCATTCTCTCCCAATGCATCTCTAGAGTGGAGGAGAATGATCACACAACAGTCAACAGCTCCCTTTCCCCCACATCCTCTGGAACTCAGACAATAACCTACAACATTATATAGGCATCCATATACTGTTGAGTTCAGTATAAAAAAATCAATACATATATACATATGCTAACCCTGATTTTCATTAATATAGACTTATACCCTGTTCCTTCAAATGCCATGACTTCAGAACTATTACAAGAGTGAAAAATAATTCAAATACTTAATTTTAAACTAATTATTAGAAGACCTAACTTATATACACATACATTTGAAAAATGAAAGGTTGCTTACCTTCCGATAAATCATGTGACACATCGCTACTCTCAACTTCATGCCAGCCCGTTGTACATGATAAAAGTATAAGTGGTGTGTTATGGCTAAAATCAATGTACATACAGACAAAGCAGCTGCATAGCCGTAGGCAAAATTCAAAGCAGCAGTATCAAGGGGATCAAAAATTTCAAAATAATTAATAATTTTTCCCAAAAAGACTGGTTGAATTACTTTGAGCGTTTCCTAAAAGAAAGAAGGGAGGGGGGGGACAAATAGAAATAATGTATTCTGTAGTTTTCTATCCAGGTTTCTTCCAAGGCAAGTAAGACATTTCTGGCACACCCTTCTTCCTATTATTATTATAATAAAACCCAGGCCAGTTTTTATTGCCACATAACCCAGAAGAAATGGACTTCTATATTAACACATGTATTTCAATAGTATTAAAATTAAAATATTTTAAACTTTTCAAAAGTTCTTTAAGCCACCAATAAAATGTTTCATGTCACATAACGAGTTACACAAATACAGATCTCCTTTAATTTCTGAAGATCACATGGTACTTTTTTGTGACATAGTTACATTTAGCAAAAAGCTTTTTTTATGCTTCATCCCAGGAACCTATGGGTACTGTGATGTACAGCCCAGCAGCAGATATGAGCTCAGAAACAACTCCTGAACAGGAGGGGCTGGCACTTTCACAGAGAAAATGTGCTTTCAGTTATACCAGCGTAATCCCACTGTTATGCAATTGGGACTGAACGGAGAATCCTACCCAGTGCTTTCCACTTCTAGTAGTCAGAGTGTGGCCCTAGTGTATTTTTCTGAGAGCAAGAGAGAGAGAGAGAGAGAGATGGTTAAGGAGAGACATCCTAGTCTCTGAAAAACAAAAAGCACAGAGTTTGTAGCTGCTACTATCGGGCAGAAAGAAATTATAAATGGGGAAAGAGTTGGGTCCCAGAATTAAATCACCAGTATTCATCACAAATGCCTATTGGACAAGATTTACATTGCTATTGGGTAAAAGGATATTCAAAGATACATTGTATTGTATTTTCCATCTCTTACCTCGATCAGTGTGAACAATCCCAAAGCTAAATAGGATTTCCAATAACAAAGTATGATTGCTTTTGTTAAATATGGCGTTCTTGCTTCTTCTTTAGCTTTTTGCACCTCTTTATCCCAGTACCTAGAAAATAAAGTAAAATCAGACTGGCAAACAAGAAAAGTCTAACTTAAAAATCACCAGAAACAGAACATAATTTGCTAAAGTTGTAAAACAGAGAGAGTTTGGTCTATAGTAGGATTGCCAAATTATCTGGTCAGTTACTCCACATCTGGCACAACCATGTACTTTCTCTTTAAGAACCTGACACCAAAATAATCTTTTTTAAAAATTTTATTTTATTGATTTATTTCTGCTTGCTCATGAAAGCCTGTGGTTAGCATTACAGGCTCATTTTGTTCCTCTGTGCTCAAGAACACACTGATAATATCAACAAACCTTGGACTAGCTGCTGATTTATAGAGACATACAACAAAGGCAGAACTAGCTAGTCACAGTCCTTGGTTTGTTCTTAGCCTGGATCAGACTGAGCCAGCTACCGAAGTTAAGGGCCAAGTCACAATAAGCCTTCCTGGCACTGGCCTGCACTGAGGCAGTGTGGAGATGCTCCACCTCGGCGAAATCCCTCTTGGAGCTCCAAGAAGAACAGAGGAGTGTGCACATCCACAGTTCGTTAGGTTGTGAAGCACGCTTTCTTATCTTCACCTGGTTATGTACTTAGGTGAGGGGGAAGTGGAATTTTTTTATTATTATTATTTCCATTATCATATTGCCTCGGAGCCCCAATCATGAACCATGACACGATTGTGCTAGGTGCTGTACAACACAGAACAAAAAGACAAGCTCGTCAGTTCAGGGACTACAATCTAAATAGACAAGACAGACTCAGGGTAGAGGAAGGAGTACAACACACAAGCAGAGAGAACAATGTGATGGTGTCAAACATCATGGGGTGGATTGCACCACCTGTGGAGCCCAGGCTTCCCCAGCGAGTGCTCCTTCCTTAGGCAGGGACTATGACTGTGCTTGACCTTTGCATTGTGGCAGGGCTGGGCACCTGCACATGAGCAAGGCACAATCTGTTCAAATCCGAATCAAAAGACAGTAAGAACACAAGTGATCATTCTGTTCACACAATGTGTTCAAGAATACACCAGCGCCACTCTACAATTGTTAAAGCACAGGATTTTCACATAAGGTGCCTCCCTCATTTCTGGAGGTCAAGTGCATTCTGCTGTGCACCAAGACCCTGTTGGTCCAAGAACTGCGAATACACCAATGTCTCAAACCTGCTAAAAGATGGCACGCTAACTTTGGGCATGCGGAATAGCCACCAGAAAGATATTATCTTGATTACTGAGATATTTTCTCTTATCGTCGGGGGGAGGAGGAGGAGTGGAAATAGGGTAAAATGACAGACTCCACAGTGCAGTTTGTTGGATTTTGTGAAGTTTCTATAAGCCTTAGTCTTGCAGGCTGCTTGCTTAAGTAAAGTAAAATGAGAGGTTAAAATAGGGAAAGAACAAGTTAAAAATTACTTAGACAAGTTAGGTATCTTCAAGTCACCAGGGCCTGATGAAATACATCCTAGAATACACAAGAAGCTGACTGAGGAGATATCTGTGCCATTAGCGATTATCTTCGAAATGTCATGGAAGAGAGATTCTAGAGGACTGGAAAAGGGTGAATATAGTGCCCATCTATGAAAAGGGAAATAAGGACAACCTGGGGAATTACAGACTAGTCAGATTAATTTCAGTACCCGGAAAGATAATAGAGCAAATAATTAAGCAATCACCTACAAGATAATAAAGAGATAAGTAACAGTCAGCATGAATTTGTCAAGAATAAATCATGTCAAACCAACTCAATAGCTTTCTCTGACAGGGTAACAAGCCCTGTGGATGGTGGGAAGAGGTAGATGGGTATATTTTGACTTTATTAAGGCTTTTCAGATGGTTTTACTGACCTCATAAACAAACTAAGGAAATACAACCTAGATGGAGCTACTATAAGGTGGGTGCATAACTGGTTGGAAAACCTCTCCCAGAGAGTAGTTATCATGGTTCACAGCCAAGCTGGAAGGGCATATCTAGTGGGGTCCCGCAGGGATCAGTTCTGGGTCTGGTTCTGTTCAATACCTTCATCAATGATTTAGATAATGGCATAGAGAGTACACTTATAAAATCTGCGGAAGATACCAAGCTAGTAGGGGTTGCAAGTGCTTTGGAGGATAGGTTTAAAATTCAAAATAATCTGGACAAACTGGAGAAATGGTCTGAAGTAAATAGGATAAAATTCAGTAAGGAACAATCAGTTGCACATATATATGGGAAACGATTGCCTCGGAAGGAGTCCTGCAGAAAGAGATCTGGGAGTCATAGTGGATCACAAGCTAAATATGAGTCAACAGCTTAACACTGTTTCAAAAAAAGCAAACACCATTCTGGGATGTATTAGCAGGAGTGTTGTAAGCAAAACACAAGTAATTCTTTCACCCTATTCTGGGCTGATTAGGCCTCAAATGGAGTATTGTGTCCAGTTCTGGGTGCCACATTTCATGAAGAATGTGGAGAAATGGGAGAAAGTCCAGAGAAGAGCAACAAAAATTATTTAAAAACTAGAAAACATGATTTATCAGGGAAGACTGAAAAAACTGGGTTTGTTTAGTCTGGAGAAGAGAAGACTAAGGAGGGACATGACAACTGTTTTCAAGCACATAAAAGGTTGTTACAAGGAGGAAGGAAAAAAATTGTTCTCCTTCACCTCTGAGAATAGAACAAGAAGCAATGGGCTTAAATTGTAGCAAGCGCGGTTCAGATTGGACATTAGGAGAAACTTCCTGTCAAGGTGGTTAAGCACTGGAATAAATTGCCTAGGGAGATTGTGGAATCTCCATCACTGGAGATTTGTAATGCAGGTTAGACAAACACCTGTCCAGAATGCTCGAGATAATACTTAGTCCTGCCATGAGTGCAGGGCACTGAACTAGATGACCTCTCGAGGTCCCTTCCAGTCCAACGATTCTGTGATTCTATGATTTACGAATGATTCTCCTTGTGTGTTGTCAAGTAGAATAGAAAGTGAAAATGCACACATAGACCCATAGATTCTGCTAAATATGCCATTATGTCTATGCAAGCATTTTTCCTGACCACATGGGAAGGAAGTGCAATTATTGCAAGAGTCACTGGAAAGACTTCACCCTCCTTTACAGTGTAAGCCCTGAACTCTTCAAGGCACGTCAGTGGATTTTCACTTTGATTAAAATGAGAACACGCTCAAATTGATATTCACCTCCACCATAATTAGGTTCTACTATGCTAATATTCTTGGAATTCTGCAAAGATCTGCTGAATAGATGTTAAATGCTGCATTCCACAGGGATTATCAATTTAACTACTACTTCTGCTCTAGCTAACTCAGGATCAAAGAAGTTGTTGCCTCTCCTTGCTCCTTCTCCTCTACAGAGAAGTTCCTGCTCCCAATCTAGTTAAGAGTGACAATTAGACCTTTCAGAAGGTTCTGTCCACCTCCTCCATAGCTGCCTCACCTCATGTAACAGCAGGAAGTTAAGAGGCCATGCCACCACTCCTCTGGTAGAGAGGAGAGTATCTTTCAGTAGGAAAGCCCTCTGCAGATATATTGAAACACTACTTGTTTCAAGTTACTATATAATAAAAACCTCTCTCCTATAACAGAGGTACTGATGAGGTTCCTGTAGGAGTCAAGAAAGAAAAGTACTTGCATAAACAGTTATTCTCTTAAAACATGTTATAATAAAGATACACTCTTGGTACATGATCCTGGCACATATCTGGAATGGACTCGCTTAACCTTTAAGCCTGCCTTGAAAAAGGATATTTATACCTACGCTTGGAAGGATTAGATTTTTTCAGTAAATGTCAGTAGACCAATCGATTTCACCCTACATACACAAGCCAACAAAAAAATATTTCCATTGATAACAACAGAAATTTACAGATAGGCAGAGTAAGAAAAATGCTGTTTGAAAACTTAGAAGCCTGATTTAGGCATACTTACTTTGTAAACTTACACATGTGATGTTGATAATTTGTGTTTTAACAGCTATAAAGCTTAAACTTTTAAAATCTCAGTCGGTCATTAAATAATTCTTGTCTGATCCCTCCTATTGTCTGATCCTGCCATAACTTCCCACAGCTGTGAAAAATTACAATCAATAAAAACTGAAAAAAGCTTAAAACCCATAATTTTGCATGACTTTTATTTTTATCAATTTAAATTTTCGAAGTGTTTAAAAACAAACATTAATATTAACTGTCAAGTTATAAAAAAATCAAGTTCTGCCAAGCCTACTCATACCACTGGACCTATACCAGTACAAGTTTCAGAGGAACAGCCGTGTTAGTCTGTATTCGCAAAAAGAAAAGGAGTACTTGTGGCACCTTAGAGACGAACCAATTTATTTGAGCATGAGCTTTCGTGAGCTACAGCTCACTTCATCGGATGCATACTGTGGAAACTGCAGAAGACATTATATACACACACAGAGACCATGAAACAATACCTCCTCCCGCCCCACTGTCCTGCTGGTAATAGCTTATCTAAAGTGATCATCAAGTTGGGCCATTTCCAGCACAAATCCAGGTTTTCTCACCCTCCTCCCCGCCACACACAAACTCACTCTCCTGCTGGTAATAGCCCATCCAAAGTGACCACTCTCTTCACAATGTGTATGATAATCAAGGTGGGCCATTTCCTGAACAAATCCAGGTTCTCTCACCCCCTCACCCCCTCCAAAAACCACACACACAAACTCACTCTCCTGCTGGTAATAGCTTATCCAAAGTGACCACTCTCCCTACAACGTGCATGGTAATCAAGGTGGGCCATTTCCAGCACAAATCCAGGCTCTCTCACACACACACACCCCCGGGACACACACACACACACACACACACAAACAAACTCACTCTCCTGCTGGCAATACCTCATCCAAACTGATCACTCTCCAAGTTTAAATCCAAGTTTAACCAGAATGTCTGGGGAGGAGGTAGGAAAAAACAAGGGGAAATAGGCTACCTTGCATAATGACTTAGCCACTCCCAGTCTCTATTTAAGCCTAAATTAATAGTATCCAATTTGCAAATGAATTCCAATTCAGCAGTTTCTCGCTGGAGTCTGGATTTGAAGTTTTTTTGTTTTAAGATAGCGACCTTCATGTCTGTGATTGCGTGACCAGAGAGATTGAAGTGTTCTCCGACTGGTTTATGAATGTTATAATTCTTGACATCTGATTTGTGTCCATTTATTCTTTTACGTAGAGACTGTCCAGTTTGACCAATGTAAATGGCAGAGGGGCATTGCTGGCACATGATGGCATATATCACATTGGTGGATGTGCAGGTGAACGAGCCTCTGATAGTGTGGCTGATGTTATTAGGCCCTGTGATGGTGTCCCCTGAATAGATATGTGGGCACAGTTACCAACAGGCTTTGTTGCAAGGATAGGTTCCTGGGGGGTGAGGGGGTGAGAGAACCTGGATTTGTGCAGGAAATGGCCCACCTTGATTATCATACACATTGTGAAGAGAGTGGTCACTTTGGATGGGCTATTACCAGCAGGAGAGTGAGTTTGTGTGTGGCGGGGCGGAGGGTGAGAAAACCTGGATTTGTGCTGGAAATGGCCCAACTTGATGATCACTTTAGATAAGCTATTACCAGCAGGACAGTGGGGCGGGAGGAGGTATTGTTTCATGGTCTCTGTGTGTATATAATGTCTTCTGCAGTTTCCACAGTATGCATCCGATGAAGTGAGCTGTAGCTCACGAAAGCTCATGCTCAAATAAATTGGTTAGTCTCTAAGGTGCCACAAGTACTCCTTTTCTTTATACCAGTACAAAAAATCCTAATGAAGATAAGCCCTTAGATGTCCTGTACAGCTAAACCCTCTCTATCAATCAGTGGCATATTTCACCTTTACTAAGGGAATGTTTTTGCCCCTACTAATTCAGTTTGTTTTGTTTTTCAAGCAAAAACGTAGAAAGCATAGACTTGTTCCCCTGTCTCTATAAGTGGAGAAAGTTGGATAATATATCTTTACCACAGCATAGAATTGCTTTATTAAGATATAATTCCTGGAATGTCAGAGTACAGAATCTTCAATTCCAGGCATTTTGTAGAGTGCCATTCAAATGAAGCATCTTTGAAGAAAAGATAATAATGCAAATTCTTTTACAGTAACTCCTCACTTATTGTCCTAGTTACGTTCTTGAAAAATGCAACTTTAAGCGAAATGATGTCAAGCGAATCCAATTTCCACATAAGAACTAATGTAAATAGGGGTTAGGTTCCAGGGAAATTTTTTTCACCAAACAAAAGACATTATATACATACACAGTATAAGTTTTAAATAATTTTTAACAAACAATTTAATACTGTACTCACCAATGATGATTGTGAAGCTTGGTTGAGGCAGGGGCATAGCGGGGCTGGAGTGCAGGAGCTTGCCACATTCCGCCCGCCTGGTGCTCCAGCCAGGGAGCGTGGTCGGGGCGCGGGGGCTTGCCTGAACCCTGGCTGGAATGCTGGATGGGCAGAGCAGGGCAAGTCCCCGCACCCCGACTCCGCTCCCCAGCAGGAGCACCAGGCGGGCAGAATGGGGGGGAGCCAAACAACGTTATAAGGGAACATTGCAGGACTTTAAGGGAGTATGTTCTCGAATAGGTCAGCAACCTAATAGTGAAACAATATTAACTGGGAGGATGTTGTTAAGTGAGGAGTTACTGTATATGTTTTCCTCCCAGAGCACTCCTCTTTGAAGACGTGACTACATGAAGTGTTGATTTTTTCCTTACCATTGCAACTCCTCTCCAACCCTCTCTGACGAATCTTCAGCCAGCACTTTATACATATCATCTTCTTCAAGCTTTCGTTTGTGACCAGTAACAAATAAAGGATTCAACCACCTATTTGAATATACAATAAAAATTGTTATATTCAGTCAATGGAGCAGAAAGAGTAATTTATTTATGTATTAATTTGTTTTCTCAGGTACTCACAAGCCTCCACCGCCCTATTACTGTGGTAACTGAACACTTTACAGTCTTTACCATATTTATCATCACAACCCCTGAGAGGTAAGAAGTCGCCCTGACATTACAGATAAGGAACTGCGGCACAGAGAGACTCAGAGTATGTCTACACTGCAGTTAGACACCCAGGTATGGCATGTGTCAATGTAGAAGTTGGGGCTCGAACTGCAGTCTGAGCTCTGGGATCCTCCCACCTCACAGGGTCCTAGAACCTGGGCTCCAGCCTGAGCCCAAAACATTTACACCGCAGCTAAACAGCCCCTTAGCTTGAGCCCCATGAGCCCAAATCAGCTGGCACAGGCCAGCCATGGGTGTCTAACTGAAGCGTAGATGTACCCAAGGTGACTTGTCCAAGGCTACACAAGAAGTCTATGGCAGAACAGTGAATTGAACCCTGGTCTCTTAAGTCCCAAGTTAGCACCCTCACCAGCTTCCTTCCTCTCCACTGTCCAGACCCTGGGTATTGTATACTCTTACCAGCATAGAAAGCAGGAAATAAAGAATATTTTGACAATCAGTCCCTTTTAAAAGGAGTGGAATTCTGGGTAAGTAGAAAAGCTTAAAATTTCCCATCAATAAAAAATGAGTCACAAAATGTATAGCAAGGAAATATACGTTAGAAATGACACTTACAAAAATAAGTCAGAAAATAAGGTAAATTTGTGTCACTATGGACACACTATTATAGTAATATTTTGGGACTAAAAAGAGATAGAGTAATAACAATTCTTAAAATCCTTTAACAGTTTTATACAACAATTCTAGTGATATGTCCAAATAAATCATTACATTGCGGATATGGTCCAGAATTATCCCTGTTAGAGAATTTTCTTTAAACTGGAATCTCTTTCATAATATTTCTCTTCCAAATGTACCAAACTCTACAAATTATAGCATGTAGACTAGACAAACCAAAATGTAAAACACTAAGCTAGAGATTGAAATCCCACACACATAGGAAGGAACTGTCCACTATCAGATAAAACATCTAAATCTCAAAAAACAAAAGAACCATATACTTCATTATCATCTCCAACACAGTCTTCATCAATACTTTGGGTAGTTAACTAAAGGGCTTGGGATAGAAATAGAACTGAGGGAATAACTGATTTTCCATTCAGTGGCAGAACTGAAAAATGCAGAAACAGAAAAAAAAGTCCTCACTTCGGGTTAAACCCCAAACCAGAAATGTTTTCAGTTTCTCACAGAAATGAAGAAAAAAACCTGAAAAAGTTCAATTTGAGTCAAAACATTCTGCTCAACCTGAAATTAATTTTTTGAGGGTAGGGTTGATTTAGAAGTATAAACATTTTATTTTGAAAATGTAAAAAAAAAAAAAAAAAAAACATTTTGACTTTTTCAAAAATTTTCTTCATTTTTTTGGCCAAAACTATTTGCCAGATTTGACCCAAATTCACAAATAGTTTTGGTCAACTCAAAACTGGTGGTTGTTGTTGTTTTTTCATTCCAAAAATTTCACCCAGCTCCAGATATAAAGAAAATATTTTCTGGCACTCCCATATCGCCAAAGGCACTGCCCTGCTCAAATTCTGTTGATGTCCTATCCTGAATTATTTCTAGAGCTGTATAAAATACTTCCTCTGTCAGAAATCCAAGGAAAAGAAATAACCTTTAATTCCAAGCTCTGCCAATTGAGGGTAACTCAGGAGACACATCTGGTTGTGAGTGAACACAGAAATCTTATTTTAATTATGTTAAGCTGGGTAAAAAAAAAAACATGTAACCAGACTTTTGAAAGCTGCTGAATCTTCATCAAAGAGTCAAGAGAAATCTTTGCAATGTCTCATGGAGTTATAAATATGTCACAAGAAATTATATGGGGACACATTTCACGGCTTGATATCCATTCATTAAATATATGGAAAGAAAGATGCTAACCTCAACTAAGCAGAATATGGATGCAATACTAGCCAAAAGATTTACTCTGTCTGACCTGACAAGGCTTTTGAAGTTTAAAAATGTCAAAGAAAACTGCCGGTTGGCTAGCTCACTCACAAATATAAAACTTGGTAATTAAAATGTTCAGATTGTAAAGTTTTAAATATAGAATGATTGTTATGGTGTTTTGCAAATACATTACAAAGTGTTCTATCAGCATTAATAGTAATAAAAGACATAGTAAAAATGCAATTAGGAAGAAATGGACAGATTAACAAAGGGACGTATTTCTATTAACGAAGAGCTCAGCTCCAATTTAGACAGCAAAATAAATGGCCGGATTTTCAAAAAGTTCAGTATATTAAAAAAGCTCTTCTGAAAATCTTGCCAGAAGTGACACAGTGCAAGCTGTTGAGTACTGAGCACTGTAAAATATGGCCCCAATTATGGGCACTGAGTATTGATAACGTGGTCCACAATATTTAAGTGATAGCAGAGAGAGCGAGGCCATGTCTACACTACAGAGTTAAGTGGACTTAAGTAATATCGATAATCATAAGTCATTTAATGCCATCGGTTGTGCACGTCCATACAATGCTCCTTGTGTTGGTGGAACATGTCCACAGTCGTCGCTCTTACAACGACAGAGAGAGCGTTGCACTCTAGGTAGCTATCCCACTGTGCAACTCGCCACCCTCTGCCACTGAAATCTCTGGGAACGGATCATGGCACATCATGGAGACGTGCTTGCCGTCCCGTGATGTAGGTCTTTCCATCCCACCATTCCCTGGGCTTCCTACTTCATTTTGTGCTGTTTTCCAACCATCCTTGTAAACTATGTGCCCACCATCTCTGCCTGGCAGCATGGATCCTGATCTGCTGACCAGTCTGATGATGAGCATTATGAACACAACACAGCTGGTCCTGCAGTATTTCATGAGCAGAGATTCAAAACAGAGAGTGAATTGGTGATGCCTGCCCCGCTGTTTGCCATGAAAACAAATAAATCAAGATTGCTGCTGGCATTCATGAACTAGCTTGCCACAGTAGACTGACGGTACTGGGCTCAGGAAACAAGCACCGAGTGGTGAGATCGCATCATGATGCATGTATGGGATGATGAGCAGTGGCTATAAAACTTTCGGATGTGCCAATCTACCTTCCTGGAACTGTGTGTGGAGTTCTCCCCTGGAACTGTGGTGCAAGGACACAAGAATGAGAGCTGCTCTCACTGAGGAAAAGCAAGTGGCGATCTCTGTATGGAAACTGGCAACTCCAGACTGCTACCAATCAGTCACAAATCACGGTCCATCTTGGGGGTTGCCGTGATGCAAGTGTGCAGGGCCATTAATCGCCTCCTACCATGAAGGACTGTGACTCACGACAATGTGCAGAAAACAGTTGATGGCTTTGAGGCAACGGGATTCCCTAACTGCAGCAGGGCAATAGATGGAACGTATATCCCAATTTTGGCCCCCAACCACCTTGCAACAGAGTACATCAACCGAAAGGGATACTTCTCCATGATCTTGCAGGCACTGGTGGATCACCAGGGCTGAAAAACTTAGGAGTTGGGCCCGTCTTCAAGGAAATTCATGTTATCGGAAGAAGAGACAGTTTGGTTACAAGGGCAGAGATGAGGTGATGGGAATCTTGGAAGAAAAATTCAAGAGGGAGTTTTTTTGGTCGCTCATTCACACTGCTTGAGTGTCCATCGAAGAAAGGTTTGAATAAATGAAACACCATGAAAACACTGGGGGCGGGGGAGGAAGGGGCTTATAAGCTACAGGCAGACAGGAAAACACTCTTGAACAATTGTACGGACCTTCACTGGACGCTGACACATGGGGAATGTTTGAATGTTCGATAAAGGCCTCTATATCAAATTGGACATGTGTCACATTTTGCCACATGGGAAGCACTTTCCCCTCCAAGTTCTCCAATTCATTCATGATGCAGAGCTGAAGGACACTTTGAGGATTCTACTCACGCTGCTAGACACAGTCACAAGTGGTGAGCACAGCTTTTCGAAGCTCAGGCTAATTAAAACATATCTTCGATTGACAATGGCCGACCAGAGACTGACATCACTTGCTATTTTATCGCTTGAAAATGTTATTGGCTAGTCTTTTGATCTCTCTGACGCCATGCTTAAGTTCGGGAGGGCAAAGGCAAGAAATGCGACCTTTTGAACTAACGGACTAGGGTTAACATTCTAAGGCTGTCACCTACTGTAACACATTTTAATATTGGCCCAACCAATGTTGGTGCACAGTTGGGTTGAGCATTGGTCTGCTAAATCCAGGGTTGTGAGTTCAATCCTTGAGGGGGCCATTTAGGGATGTGGGGCAAAAATTGGGGATTGGTCCTGCTTTGAGCAGGGGGTTGGACTAGATGACCTCCTGAGGTCCCTTCCAACCCTGAGATTCTATGATTCCTCCCTAAATTTCTTGGTATTAGTACATTTCAGTTATTCTTAAAATTAAAAAGTTTCTATAAGCTTAGTGGAAATGGATTTTTTTATTTACTGAAATGTGGCATAAATAAATACAGATTTACACATCCTAGCGTGAAAATTTATAGTCTTATATGACAGGGATAAATCATGCATCAAAGTCGTGAAATGGGCTACAAATGCAATAAAAAAAATAAAGTATTCAAAAGTTTAACAAATGGAGGGGGGCACCAAAGATGCTCCTCGCCTGGGCGCCATTTGGTCTAGGGCCAGCCCTGGTCCTTATTAAGTCCATAATTTCTGGTGTCTAGCAGAATTATGAATTTAAGTTCCCAGGCTTATCTTTTGAAGGTGTTGTGCAGGTTTCCTTTGAGGAAGAGGACTGAGAGATCAGATATGGCATTATCATTCTGTGAAAAGTGGAAGCTGAAGTTAGACAAATTCAACCTTAAAATAAGATGCAATTTCCTACTAGTGACAGTAATTAAACAATTTAACAGCATAGCAGGGGAGGTGGTGG